ACAGGAGAAAAGTGCTATAAAATTGCTTATCTTAATATTTTTTTTTGTAGAAAACAACATAACTTACTATATGATTTGCAGCTGAATGTAATGTTACTTGACATTCTTAAAGGACTTCAGCTTAATGAAGTGGTCTGGGTGCCTGGTCCAGCTAGGTTTAACCCCTTTTTCTATAAACATAGCAGTTTCAAAGAAACTGCTATGTTTATACTAGGGTTAATCCAGCCTCTAGTGGCTGTCTCATTGACAGCCGCTAGAGCCGATTCTCACTGTGAAAATCACAGTGAGAAGACGCCAGCGTGCATAGGAAAGCATTTATGAATGCTTTCCTATGAGACTGGCTGAATGCATGCGCGGCTCTTGCCGCACATGCGCATTCAGCCAAGGAGAGTCCCCCGCCCGGCGCTGGAGAAAGGTAAGATTAACCCCTTCCACCCCCTAGAGCCCGGCGGGAGGGGGCACCCTCAGGGCACTATAGTGGTCCTTTAATAAAAGTTAACTTAGAAGAAAAAAAAGTGAGTAAAGAGTAAATTGTAAATCACAAAAATTCTTTTTTTTTTTTATACACGGATATTATGGTTGGTCCCACTCCTCCAAAAGAAAGTGTACAAAAGAAAAAGTATAATGTTAAAGGTAATAAATGAAGAGCAGGTAATAAAATGCCCGAAGGCAAATTATTATAAATTGTCATGAATCATAATCCTTATTCATTTTTGTTTAGCCACAGCACTTTTCCCATATAGCGATAGGGGCTGTTCTGCCTGCTCTGCAACTTCCCCGTGGCTCTCTATGAGCAGGAAGATAGGAAAGTGTAATCATTTATCAAAAACGACATCTAGGAGGGCCCTCTTTATTTACAGCCCCACCTGAACGTTGGCTTCGACACACTACAACCAACTTTCTCTCAGCTTTTTTTAAACGAGCTATACTTGTTAAAAAGTCCACAGCAAAACGTGAACTTCTCCTCAGCATCATTCCCGTTTGCTGTGGACCTTTTTAACAAGTATATCTTGTTGATGTGCCTTATACTATTTGGAAATGAGTGAGTGCAATATTATTATTTTTATCATAACACAGTTTTGCACTATATTTGCCACTTTATTTCCATTTATGTACCACTGAGAAAATGGGGATTTGGAACACTGACTGATCCTGGATACAGTTTATTTTTTCCTGCCTGCTAAACGCTTACGTTTGTCTGGGCAATAGTCCACCCCTTTTTTATATGGCGTTTAAAACTTTATTAAACTATGTGATATTTATGTTGTAGATTGTGTGGTTTATTTTTTTCCATATATAGTTTATTTAGTTGAACAGGGTAGGTACATACATTTCGTCCAGTTGACAGTGTTAGATACATAAATCATTACATTGAAGTATTTTGCTACATTTTAACATGGTCAGGTGCACATGAGGTATACATAACAGTGAGTATCTACACATAAGTTATCGCATGGGTAAGTTGGTGTGTATCGTCAACGTGGATTGTTAAGGCGTCTTATTTTCTGATATTTCGGTTCTATGGAAGCCTAAAGGGGAACTTGGGGAGGGGTCTAACTTGGGACTGGGGATATATAATTCCCTACCCCTGCCGGCTCCTGTTCTGTTTACTCTTGGTTTGCATTCATTTAGCAGTTGTGTATCTGTAGTTATCTATGATTGCATTCACCTTAAGGATTTAATTTACATTTGTATATGCGTTTACGGTCGTATTGGAGTTTAACCCTTCAGTGTAACATAATATTATGTGCTTTTACGGTGTGGGTCTCCAACAGCCCCACTCCTTCGCGTGCCTTTCCTCTCGGCCCTGCACCCTGCTAGCCATTAGTTCATGGGAGCCGATTATGTCCATTTTGCTGCTCACTGCCTCTATGGTGGGTATTTTTGTGCTCTTCCAGTTTTGAGCTAGGAGGACCTTAGCTGCGCTAGGTATATTGACTATCACTTTTCTGTGGGGATGTAGTGTCAACTCAGATATCATGTGTGATAGATAGTGTTCGGGCTGTAGCCGGATTAGGAGGTCTGTTGTGCTAGATATAAGATTGTGTGGTTTATATGTGTTAATGAAGACAGAGAGGAGTCCATCTGCAATTAACAAGTGGAAAGGGTAATACATTTTTACCCCCACTGCTATCTTATCACCATTGGTGTGTGTATACTAAACTTTTATGAACCTGAAATGTAAAGTGAGAATAACCCCACAGTTGGGAGGAGATACATTTTTATTGATAAATGGCCTGACTCAAAGAGTAAATAGAGAGTAAAATATTGTAGTAAAAGTAGTGTAGTAATGAGGGTAGCGTACAGAAAAAACAATGGGAAGATATGGTGGACATAGAGGTTAAGGTAGAGAAGAAATGTGAAGACAGAATAAGTGTGGGGTCTAGCTGAGAGCTTGGTACATGTTTGTATCCTATCTGCATATTCCATCTAGAGGTGTACTCAAACCAAGGTCACCATATGAAAGCTTTATTTATTTGCATACAGGTTTTTATTGTTGCTCCCCAGCACCCTGTGTTTTTATTTATTTTTTTGAAACACTTTACAGACATTAGTACATGACAGTAAAACATTTTATGCATCAAAGTACAATACACAGCACACCACCAGTCTGCAAAATAAACAGAAAATAGTGTCTTCCTCAATCAAGGAAGAAGGAATAGAAGTAAATATGAAAGAGGAAGACGTCGTCGAGAGAAGAAAGGCTGTTTGGGAGAAATTGATATATAGTGTCCCATTTAAGGCTACTGTCCCTGGTAAGATGTCCATGCCATATTTGTTTGGGTGGGAAGGCTGGTAGTGTGTTATGCCCGTTCTGCTTGTTTGTCCATAAAATACGTATCCTTAAGCTTCAGGAAGACTTTTGCTATATGTGGTGAATTTACCTGCATCCACAACTGAGGTATTGCTCTCCTAGCTTATCGTGAGATTGTGTTTTGTAGTTTCAGTTTTCAAGGAATTAGGCCCTCCATGGGACTGGACAGGAGAAGAGCTGTTACAGCTATGCATTCAGTTTTGGTACTTTGGTCTCAAATAATTTACCCTGTGAATGTATCACAATGATCTGTTCTCCACATGCTGTAACTTTATAAATAGTATAATCCTTGTCTATTTTTCCTTTTGTTACGCACAGCTAAAAAAAAAATAAAAAAATAAAAAAAATTCTGACAAAAGCTTTGGTTTATTCCCTATACCAAGATGTAAATCAAGGAGGCTTTTCCATGAATAAACCAGCATATGTTCAATTAAAATCCTGAACCTACCATTCCATCTAACACAGGGCCGGATTTACATCTCAAAAAAAAAAAAAAAGAGTCAAAATCTACACCTTTCACCTTTACGGATGCATTTTCTACAGCAGCACCCCATTGCACGTGGTTTCCTGTTCCCCATGTCATAGAAACCATTTTGACTAAGTAATGTATAACAGTAAATGGAACTGCAAATATACAATTAATAATGTACCACCCAAAGTACTGCTATAGAAACATAAGTTTGTACCGGTACCTTTCTTTTTATAGGTCTCTAAAGTTTACAGTGTATACCAGGGATAGGCAACCTTTGGCACTCCAGATGTTGTGGACTACATCCCCCATAATGCTGGCAAAGCATCATGGGAGGTGTGGTCCAAAACATCTACAGTGCCGAAGGTTGCCTATACCTGGTGTATACTATCCCCACTTCTTATTTAGAAAGGCAAGGATACTTGGATATAAGAAACCCCAAGTCATTATATATGGGAATGAGTGTTTTCCTAGCAAGAATCGTGCTGATCACCCTCTTTTGTAGTTCACCTTTCAGATCCCAGTTCTGTTTTTACCTCCAGGTGGAATTTTTGCACTGAAGATTTTTTTTGGTTTACTCAGCAAGATTGTTGCAGGGAATAAAACAGGCCAATTTTCCTGCAGAGAGTGGTAGACTGACGAAAGGAGATCTGTGGACTAGAATTAAAGGGACACTATGGTCACCAGTGCATCTACATGTATTCCTGACCCTATAGTGTTAACACGACCATCTAGCCCCCTGGGCCCCTCATGCCTCCATAAATATAGTAAAAATCTTACTGTATTCAAGCCAGAAGATGTAAATCTGCATGCTGTTAGACCCAGGAAAAACAAGCAGTCTGCTGATATGTGATAGCCTGATCCAATCACAGTGCTTTCCCATAGGATTGGCTGAGACTGACAAGGAGGCAGATCAGGGGCAGAGCCAGCATGATTCAAACACAGCCCTGGCAAATCAGCATCTCCTCATAGAGATGAATTGAACCAATGAATGTCTATGAGGAAAGTTCAGTTTCTGCATGCAGTGGGAGGAGATACTGAATCACAGGATCATCGTGCATAGCAGATCTGAGTGGATGGAGGCATATTATGCCTCCATCAACTCAGAAGTCCCTCTGGTTCACTCTGAGTGACTGCAACTGGAGGTATTCCTAGCTTTCAATGTAAACATTGTATTTTCTCTGAAAATACAGTGATTACATGAGAAAGGCTGCAGGCAGCTATAGTTTTCACCTGAACAACCTCATTAAGCTGAAGTTGTTCAGGTGACTATAGTGTCCCTTTAAAGTCTGGTTCTCGTGTGAGGTCTCTTGAGTCTACCAAGCAAAATATGCACTTATGCACAAACTTTCCGGTAATCATTGATAACCTATCAGTACTTACTTAATTGTTTTTTTAGCTCAATTAGAACTGGACATACTGTTGTGATACAGATTTACCAGTAAACAGATCTGGACATATTGAGTGAGCTATGAAAGTGTGTAATATATCAAAGGCCATTTGTCCTATACATTTATTTTACTGTGTTATATTGGATGTTTGTAGATAGTAAACATCCTTCATAATCTCTAGTTTGTTTCTTGTTTCCCCAGCAGTTGGGGGGCTCTCGGTAATGTGAGAATTTAATGGACATGGAGCCTATGTACTTACCATTATGGATTTTCACCAACAAGGAATCACACTGCTGGGGTCAGAGGTCTATTTCTATTATTTGTCCATAAGATAAGCATATAACAAACCAAAGTAACAATAATCCAATATCATGGTTTGTGACAGCTTGTAGCGTTGTCTATATGAATGCTATATGCGTTTTGAGTCAGAAAATGTATAAGTACAGTATACAAAAACACAGATGCACACAGCAAACGTCTGTAAAGAACATTTCATCTTTATTGCTTTGGCTTGAGATTGGTGGAGCCCCCTCAGAGTCTGTGCAATTTTATGAGACCTTCCTGCAAACTGTTCTGAGATACAGGTAACTGCAAATGCTTGGTGACCTTAAACACATAGTCCAATGGCTGGAATTTAAAACTCTTAACTATGAACTGCAACTTGAAAACAAACGCGCCCTATGAATTCCTCCTATAACAAAGAGAGAAATTGTGTTATATTTATAAAGTATTCATGGGAATGGATTGCATAACATGTAATCTCCAAGTAATCGGCGAGAGGAAGGCAAGTTAATCCATGTAGTTTAGCTGAGCGTACTTTGATAGACGATAGTCTCCTGTATGCTCTACCTGGTCTGACAGGGAGCCAAGAGCTCACACAGAGGGGCTTGGAAAGAGGAGAAAGATGGGCTGGAGGAGAGAGTCACACAAAGGGTCTAAGGACAAACAACGGGGTTGGGGGAGAAAGAGGCACAGAGGGCCTTGGGGGAGAAAAAGGCACAGAGGGCCTTGGGGGAGAAAGAGGCATTGAGGTTCTTGGGGTAGAAAGACACACTAAAGGGGTTGAAGGAGAAAGAGAGACACAGAGATGCTGAGAGAAAGAAAGTAAGAGACACACACACAGAGGGGCTGTGGTGTAGAAACACACAATTGGGGGACGAGACAAAAGGGTTTGGAGGAGACATCCAAGGGGCCTTGGGGGAGAAAGAGGCACAGAGGGTCTTGGAGGAGAAAGAAAAAACACAGAGGGGCTGGGGATCAGAAAGATACACAGAAGTGCTGGGGATGGGGGGCAGAGACAAAGTGCTGGAGTGTAGAAACACACAAAAGGGGATTGGGGGAAGAGATATACAAAGGGTCTGGAGGGAGAAAGACGCACAGTGGGGCTTGGGGAAGAGACATACAAAGGGTTTGGAGGGAGAAAGATGCACAGTGGGGCTTGTGGAAGAAAGACACACAGAAACGGGATTGGGGGAAGAAAGACACACAGAAAGGGGATTGGGGGAGAAACACACATAGGGGGAAGAGAGAGACAGAAGGGGTGCGGAACACACCAGTGAAGATGCATTTTTTCCAAGGGAGGGTGGAGCATCTTTGCCTGTGTAGCCAAAAATCCTTGCACCAGCCTTGTGAGCAGCACAAGCGTTAAAAAAAATAAAATAAATAAGAGTATACAATGTGTATACTCTCCTGAAAATCATTCAAACATAGTGATACTAACTAGAACGTACTAAGATGCTCCTCATGCGGGACCGAGAACTGCACTGAGTTTGGAAGCTGCTTCAGCAGGAACTGACTTTAAAGCATTGTGAAAATCTTGTGGAAACTTCTGTGCGATGTCCCTCAAAAGGAGAATTAAACAGTTCTCTGTATCTGTATGGTGCAGTATTAGAAATGAGAAGGCACAAATGAAGAACAAATATTTCCTGTATTAATTTGCAAGCTATCAAAAATATAACACTTCAGAGATCTAGAACAAATAAAGGGTGTACATACTTAGGGCAAAAATGAATGTCAGATCAAATCAAACATCAAAAACAGAAGCCAGCAGACTGTGCAGACAGACCGTGTTTCTAAAACATGAGAGGGTAGCATAAAAAAAAAGTGCGTAATATTGAAAACATACCTGGTTGTATTTCCTTTGTGCCCAAACAATGACCAAAGATTCTAGCAATTTCTGCTAACTGTGTGATAACCTGTAGCAAAAAGATTGAAGGATTGGTTTGAAGATTTGTTCAACTAAAACATACCTACAAACTAGTCCTTTGAGCATTATATAGGAAATATTTTAATTTTAAAACAAAAGCATGTGAACAAATAAGTGCTATTTATTACACTGTTTAATATAAAGGAATAAAGTTAGTTTTCCTTACCGAGAATGTGTGTATGAAGAAAAATTATATAGAGGCACACATAAATGCAATACATAATGGTGAGCAAGGAGGAATGGTTTATAAAAAGGTCTCCAGGACACAAACATGGCAGCATATCCCCAATACACAAGAACAGGATTAAAGGAACATTTCAAGTACCATAACTACTACAGTTTGCTGTAGCTCAGATGTCCTGGCTGCAGTGGAGGAAGGGAGCAATGCTTGACAGTCCCTAGGTAAGAAGTCACACTTTTCTAAAACAGATTGTATAAGTAAGAAAAAAAATAAAAATAAATAAAATCACCTGACATATCTATCCTCAAAACTATTTCTCAAACCCTCCCTTACTATATAGTCATTTTCTCATCTACCCAAAATGAGAGTTAGCCCACGAGGAACATTTAGCAGCCATAATTATGTGGACATCACTGCAGAAAGATAAATCAGGTTTACAAAATATACAGTAAAAAAAAAAAATCAATCAATCGTGGGTACATTCTAATTAATAACTTTTGTTTGCCATATTTGCACTAAACAAATTGCTGCATTTCAGGATTCAATTGGTAAACAGTAATATGGAGATATACATACGGTAAGTTTCATTAGAAGCTGAATTGTGTAACTTACCTGAGAAGTGAAGTTCTCGTATAGGAATGCAATGCACTTGAATACTGTAGTATTCTCCTCAAAATCCTCTTTCAGTGGCATAGAACGTAGCATCACTGGAAAAACCTGCAAGTGCCAATAACAAGAAGAAAAAATGTGCAAAATGGGTGATTTAGATACATAAATGAGAAAAGTAAAGTAAAACAAGGATTAGTTAGATTAAAAACAAAAGAAGGAAGGTATGTAGAAGAGGATAAAGGTCTAGCTGACTGCCTCAATTAATATTTTTGTTCAGTACTTAGAGATGAAAATGAAGGAAAGGGGCCTCAGTTAGGAAAAAGGACAAATGGGTTTATGGAGGAAGAGGTTCTATTTCAACTGTCAAAAGTAAAGACAAATAAGTCAATGGGACCTAATGGAATACACCCAAAGTTATTAAAAGAGCTTAGTGGTGTACTAGCAAAACCATTAACAGATTTATTTAACCAATCATTGTTAACAGGAGTAGTCCCAGAAGATTGGAAGTTAGCAAATGTTGTGCCCATTCACAAGAAAGGTAGTAGGGAGGAGTCAGGCAACTATAGGCCAGTAAGCCTTATTTCAGTAGTGGGGAAAGTAATGGAAACCATGTTAAAGGATAGGATTGTTAAAAATCTAAAATCACATGGATTTCAAGATCAGACACAACATGGGTTTACTTCAGGGAGATCATGCCAAACTAATCTTAATTATTTTTTTGATTGGGTAACTAAAATAATAGATCAGGGTGGTGCAGTAGACATTGCTTACCTAGATTTCAGTAAGGCTTTTGACACTGTTGCACACAGAAGGCTTATCAATAAATTGCAATCTTTAAGTTTGGATTCCAATATTGTTGAATGGGTAAGGCAGTGGCTGAGTGACAGGCAACAGATGGTTGTAGTCAATGGAGTATATTCAAAGCATGGGCTTGTCACTAGTGGGGTACCTCAGGGATCTGTACTTGGATCCATTCTCTTTAATATTTTTATTAGTGATATCGCAGAACGTCTTGATTGTAAGGTATGTCTTTTTGCTGATGATACTAAGATATGTAACAGGGTTGATGTTCCAGGAGGGATAAGCCAAATGGCAAATGATTTAGGTAAAAGATAAGTGCAAGATAATGCACCTTGGATGTAAAACCCAAGGGCAGAGTACAGAATATTTGATAGAGTCCTAATCTCAACATCTGAGGAAAGGGATTTAGGGGTGATTATTTCTGATGACTTAAAGATAGGCAGACAATGTAAGAGCAGCAGGAAATTCTAGCAGAATGCTTGGTTGTATAGGGAGAGGTATTCGCAGTAGCAAGAGGGAAGGGCTCATGCCATTGTACAGAACACTGGTGAGACCTCGCTTGGAGTATTGTACGCAGTACTGAAGACCGTATCTCCAGAAGGATATTGATACTTTAGAGAGAGTTCAGAGAAGGGCTACTAAACTTGTTCATGGATTGCAGGATAAAACTTACAAGGAAAGGTTAAAGGAACTTAACATGTACAGCTTGGAGGATAGACGAGACAGGGGGGATATGATAGAAACAAGGGAATCAACACAGTAAAGGAGGAGACTATATTTAAAAGAAGAAAAACTACCACAACAAGATGACATAGTCTTAAATTAGAGGGGCAAATGTTTAAAAATAATATCAGGAAGTATTACTTTACTGAGAGGGTAGTGGATGCATGGAATAGCCTTCCAGCTGAAGTTGTAGAGGTTAACACAGTAAAGCAGTTTAAAGTACCACTATGAGCTAATGTGGTCTGGGTGCCAGGTCCATCTAGGGTTAACCCTGCAGCTGTAAACACAGCAGTTTCAGAGAAACTGCTATGTTTACATTAGGGTTAATCCAGCCTCTAATGGTTGTCTCATTGACAGCCGCTAAAGGCGCTTCCGCACTTCTCACTGTGATTTTCACAGTGAGAAGACACTGCCGTCCATAGAAAAGCATTGAGAAATGCTTTCCTATGGAGCGATTGAATGCGCGCGCGGCTCTTGTGGTCCTTTAAACATGCGTGGGATAGGCTATCCTAACTATAAGATAATGCCAGAGACTAATGAAAGTATTTAGAAAATTAGGTAGACTAGATGGCCCGAATGGTTCTTATCTGCCATCACATTCTAGGTTTCTAAGACATTACTCATGGGGTTAGGTATCCCACAGAAAGGAAAAGGAGGCAAAAGGAGTCAAGCAGAGTACGTCACAACCAAATATCTAAAAGTCAGTAAAATAAACAGATGAGTGGAAAAATTCAGGATAGATAATTAATTTGGTTTTGTTGTTTCTAACATTCTCATAGAAAAAGAGGAAGGAGGCATAGATATTTACAATATATCAAAAATAGTCAGAGGTTATAAAATAAATTTTCAAAGATATATATTCTGCCAAAATCTCTGCTTCTAGTTGGCACACACTATATATTAGTGCATGTTAATTAATGAGTATTATATTTCATTTTAAAATGTATTTACAGGTTTAAAACGACATTTATTTGTGGCAACACTATTTCCACAAACTTAACATTTAATTAGATATGTTAAAAGGTGGCAAAAGTGAGGGTAAAGAAAAAACATTATCTGTAAGGTACTGTTTTACCTACCTGTTCCAAAGGAACACCGTTTGGGTGACTGAGCACCATTCGACTTACAGCCCCACACACATTGTCCATAACCCGTGCGTTTTTCTCACAGCTGATAATGGAAGACAATATGGAGAGAAGCTTGGGGTATTGTCTGCAAGAATGTCAAGGAAATAAAAAAAGAAACGAGAGAATAGGTTGGGGGAGAATACAGAGAGTACAAACAGATTTTATGGAGCAATTATTGAAACCACAGAGAAGGGAATGGCTTCATTCCATACATGAGGATTGAATGAAGGGATGTGCACAACTCACAGGGGAAAGAAAGACTCAAATAGACAACAAAGGTGATAATACATATATTTAGTGAAGGATACTGCTGTATAATGTCACCACCATGCTCTGCTAGGACACCAAGTCCAAACACTGAATTACTCCGCACTTCGTTATCTTCATCTCGCACCCCTGTGATAAAAGCTGGGAGGATTTGCTGTACAAATTGAACTGTTGCTGGACCAATGGCCACCACAGATTCTGCCAAAGTACCCACTGCAAAGGACTTCTCCGCTGGTGAGCAAATGGGTTTCTGCAGGAAAAGGAGGGAAAAAAAAAAATTGTGAGAGAGCATAGATGACCAAAAACAAAAAAGTAAATTTCAATATTTAGGTCAAAGAAGCTTAGAATTTTAATAATTGAGCTATTATGACCAAAAATTTGCAGTTCACTAATCATTTCTCCATAATTCCAGGTTTAGTGAATAACTCTTCAAGGAGGGCACACAGAGAGATATTGGTATACATATATATTCATCCTTTTGAAATATTTACTTCATTACACTCCACTGTCAATGATATGGATAGTTAAACTCATAATCCATAGTATAATCTATACAGAAATGTATACAAATACAAAGAGGCACTCACAACTTTGTTAAGGAGCAATGGAAGAAATCCAGCAAAATATGGGGCAAATGTGGCGCCACCGACTGCTGCTGCGATCAGAGGAATCCCCTCTCCTGCATATTCTATCAGCATGGAGTCCATCTCCGCCTTAAGAGAAAACCAAAGTAAATACTTGGATTAAAAAGACCTCCGTACACACAGTTAGGAGTGGGAATGTCTAATGCATTCTCCTATCTTGCCGTGGCTTCACTGGGTTACTGGGCATTATTACATATTAAATAATCCTATAATTAGAACTGGACGGAAAGACTTACTCCAAATATATTGAAATAAGATTGCATAGGAACCCAAACCAAACACTTGGAAAAAATGTGAAAGGTAAATGGTCCAAGATCAAAACAGGTTTATCTACAGAGAAAATGTGAACTACATTAAACAGAAAGATGTATCTCCATTAAAATAGTGGTACTGACTAAGCTTTTGTAGCCCATCCATATCAGTCTTGTATAAAGCAGACACCTACACTGAAACAGTAATACACACATCAAAGCTCATAAAACATGTAAAGGTAGTAACTGTGATACTTTACAACATTACTTTAGAGAGAGGGTCTCCAAAATAACAGTCTATTATTTAGCAATCTCCTTGTACCGAGGGGATAGGAACTACAGTGTTTGTGGGAGATATGGGCTATAGAGTTGGGGTATAGGGGACTGTAATGGTGGGGGATGGGGGCTGTGGTGAAGGATAGGTGCTGTGATGGCTATAATGAGGGTATGGGGAGGGATAGGTTGCCTGATGGCCAATCTGAGCCTGCACACAAAATCAACAGAAGTTACAGTATAAATTGTATGTGACAATAACACGTTTACATGTGTTCCAGAGAAAGGAGAAGTTACCATAAAAATATTTCAAAACAGTTAATTTTACTTGAATAGATAGCATAGTATGTCTACTAAAGTTCAACTAAATTTTACTTGAGCAGAGAGCATGATCCTGTCACCCTTTCACCCTGCCTCTGCCCACTCTCTAAAGTACCACTGATATTTTATTTTTGCTGCATTGATCTTAAAGGGTAACTAAGCACCAAAGCTGAAGTGTGTGTTTTTGCAAGCAGCATTGCATTTCTTATTCGAAAATTCCCAATCTGTCAGTTAGCTAGTTATAAACTTTGTTTAAAGACCATCTGTGATGTGTGCATTGCAGTTTTTGCATGCAGCTTAATTCTTCTCTCCTATAATTGTGAAAATAGCTACACATATACAAAAAGGGACATTTCCAAGCACCATAACCACTACAGCTCATTGTAGTGGTTATGGTGCCCGGAGTGGTGCCTTCATTGTAAGAAGTCAAATCATCTTTGAACGGTTTGACCTCTTACCAACTCTGCTCCACTACAAACTCTGGAGAGCCAAATGTTCCTAAGCAGGAGTTTGTTAGCTCTTCTGACCTAAACCCTGCATGGAAAGAACAAAACACATTAATGCATATATTAAAATCATGTGTATTAAAAAAAAAAAAAGTACTTCATAACCAAAAGTTTCCTTTGAAGAACTGGGTATAAAAGTGCATACTTATGACAGACAATTTATATGGAATATCCCTTGCCCTCTTCCAAGCTGAGCTTTGCAAATAGTCAGACCTCTAAACAAGACTTTTCAAGCACATACAAATTAGGTACTGCTGATCTATCAACCACAGATAAAAAAAAAAAATGTAATCACAGTCACTCCAGGTAATAAAGGATTGAAAGGACATTTCATGTTTTCATGTTATAAAAGCCTAATCTTGTTTTGTTATGAAGGAATCTAGTCAGAAAAATGAGCAAACCTCCCTTTACATAAACATATCGATCTATATATTCTGGATAATAACACAGTGAGCCATTGTAAAGATCAGAGAGAAAGACTGTTTACTGTATGTTGCTGTAGCACTGGTACTAGTTCCATAAAATGTTGTGCAATATATTTCCAGCACAGAGCAGCCTCTATTGGAGGGTGTACAGTGAGGCAAATGTTTTCATTTGGTTGAGCTGTAAGAATTTATGGGATGAGAAATTCAGATTAAAGTCACAGAGCTTTATAAGCCTGACCTTGCTATTCTGATCACCTCAGCATATAGACTTTGAGGTTTCTTTTAATGACTAAACGGCTTATAACAAACATTTTAAATCACCATTTCCATCACACAGCAATTAACTGACTTGCTTGCTTTTAGATACCCATAATGTGTAAAAGATAGCTGGACCTCAAGGCTTGTTAGGGATCACAACAGTTTCTGAATATATGGAATCGTGATTTGATGAAGCCAGCTTCTGGTTTGGGGATCCAGGAGGGAGTGATCTAACTGCATATTCAATGGAGATGCTCTGTTGGGAAATTTAAGTTACACCCTGACAATTACCGCACATTACATAAAAGCAATAACATAAGCTTATGTTTTTCCTGTTGGACTCTGTTAAAACGCCTTCAGCCACTTACCGATGTCCCTCGGTGCTGGGTCAGGCTCCGCGCATGCTCCTCCCCTGCTGACAGCTGGCAGGGGAGACCTAATGCGCACATTAGACCTCCCCATAGGAAAGAATTATTCAATGCTTTCCTATGGGAAAAATCTGACGCTGGAGGTCCGTGAGGACGTCCAGCATCAGATAACGGACCAAAAGTACGTTTGTTTTCCGGAAGCGCCCCCAGTGGCTGTCTGGTAGACAGCCACAGAGGGCAGACTTTGAGCTGCAATGTAAACATTGCAGTTTCTCTGGAACTGCAATTTTTACATTGCAGCACTAAAAGCAAAAGGGTCACAGCACCCAGACTACTTCAATTAGCTGAAGTAGTCTGGGTGCCTACAGTGTCCCTGTAACATAAACATGCCGACTTGTAAATTAATTCTATCTGAAACCAGACGAGGTCTAACCTGCAAACTGAAGAGATGCATGTTCACAGGGCTCCCGTTGTATTTGCCAATTTCTTTAAAATACTCCCGAATATCACGCTTGTACACACATCTTTGTGCACTACCCAGGTTGGGAGTGCTTTTGTGAATATTGTGACTCCTTCCACAAGAGATTTGGATATGGCTCTATTTGAACCGGGGAGAGGCAGGCGTTCTCCTCGTCCTTGCGTCGGAAGGGAACCCGTTGAACTCCTGCCTTTCCCTGCCCCGGACCGATAATCCCAGTCCACTCCCGGGAGGCAACCCGGCTGTTTGGGAAGCATGAACCGATGCTGAACAAACAACCTGTAAACTCAGAGACATGTATCATGGCGGATGCCACGTGCTCCCCCAAGTGCCGTGCTGAGCAGCCAGACTTTGCAACCAAGCTGGACAGCATATTCAATGCTTTCTGGAGAAACCTGGCACTCCAACAGCGTCACGCTATAGCCTCCAAATTGAGTGCACATTTACCTCTGGGGTGGCCCACATGTTCCCATCACAGGTACACGGATCTCACAGCAAAAAGAACTAGAAAATTGGGGCGGAGAAAACAATGTCCACCATCCAATCCTACACATTTGAAGCCAGAAGCAGCGAGGCTATGCCGCAAGAGATTGGAGACTCACCACAGATCCGGCTGTGGCATACATCAACTATCCCAGTGAGCTTGACTCAACACCACAATGGATGATCTTGTGGACCTCTGTGGGCCTACTTCGCTTGCATGACCATGCCTTCTACCTTCAACCAGGTGGGCTACACGGCATGATATCGGGACTATCATGGCTGGACTATGTTTCAATAACAGGGTGTCAGCTGACCTCGGAGGTAGCTTGTATCAACTCTGACATTATCTACATCAACATTATGCCTGACTGAATGCTGAACTGGAAAAAAAAATATTTTTTTGATTTTTATTCATTGTTCTTGAATGTGGGACTAGTGTACCTGGGGGGCCTCGTGGGGTTCTCACTACTTCACTTTAAGCACTCTCAGTGCATGTAACTCCCATTAAAGTCGAGTTGCCTATAATGCCTAACATGCGCTATGCTATTCCTGGCTCTATTCTCCATATCTAAAAATGTGCAATTTTTTCCAATACACTTTATCTTGCAAGTTATGCTACACAATTGATGTATGTATATACAGTGCCATGTGTGTTCCTTATTATACACGTCATAAATACATTAAAAATAAAAAAGATGGTTATTTTACATTAGTAAATGTCTAGCAGAAAGTGGATTGTGCCACTGGCAGGATGGAACAAGTCATTCAAAGCATTTGGGGAATTACAGAAAATGGGGTAGATACATTGCAGTTTTAAGCAATATACAGATTGAGTATTTATATTGCCCAAATGTGTAAATAGTGTAAAACAAATATTAAAGACTAACAAACAGAGTTGTAGGCGTGTCACCAAGAGACAGCCTGAACCTGCAGGTGTAACAGAGACAAGAGCATGCTCCAAACATGAGACAGCCCACACCTGATAAGGCTGATTAACCTGCTCTACAAGTTAATCACCTGAATGGCAAATAGTGAGAGGCAGGGATAAACTGCCAACAGAGAAACCATCAAGGTGAGAGACCGTACATGAAATGGAATATAGCACGGAATAGTTTACTAAGAGATATTTAAATGGGCTCACCGAAAAAATAATCAGCGCTCGAAGGACACCTAGGAAACGAGCAAGGAGAGCCTATATTGACTGAAACTGTACATAGGTCACATGCACGTTTGCTTTTATTTACACTATTTCAGTTTACGACCTTTACAGATAACACGGTCAGCAGTACAGATTGCCACAATGAACTAACCAGAGGCTGACAATTCTTAAAAGAACTAGGACTACCTCAAAAATAAGAACTCTATCAGTGATTGTTAACAAGGAAGCCTCATGCTCTGAGACCACCAAAATGGGTTTGGAAGAAACCATTCTTATGCTCCTGATAACAAAAAATGCTATCAACTTCCTGCCATTCTGCTTTTTGAAACACATGCATAATCAGACAATGATTACTTCAACGCTGATCCTGATGTTCACAGATACAGTCATAGCAGGTGAGTTTAATGGGATATCTGAAACCCAAATCATGCTCTTATCTTGCATTGTACTATACAGGACCCAGGTTAACTACAGATAGTACATAGTTCTGCACAGGGGATTTGCATATGCAAATACTACACACCACAGACAGACATCTCAAATGCACAAGGTAGAAAACCTTTCTACCACAAAAAGTTTAACTCACCATAGAATGCAATACACAAAGATAATTTGGGAAAGCATATACACATACTAATAAACTACACACAGCTATATATCTGCTTTTGATCAAACTTTTTATCATAAAAATATCCCGCAGATTATAAGTACCAGCTATAAATCCAGAGTTCCTGGTAAAACCAAATACCTATTAAAATTTAGAAATACTACTGAGTGAATTGAATGTAGCCAATTAAAGCTGAAAGAATACAATTACACTTTATATTGTTACGTCTATACAAAGGTTAAGACACACTGCATACAATCAAGATCAAACATTTTAAAACACCCACCAAATGCCTCCAAGCAATTTAGACACATGCTCAAGGATATATGTACACTTAGTATTCAACTCACAGAGCTTTGAATATTTATATTGCAACTATCATGCTCATTCACAAACTCAAATCAAAGGTAAGCCATAAAGAGGGAAACACTATTAATGTCCACTGGTAAATCAGTGTTGGTTTCATGTTTACCTACAAACGTAAGCCCAACAATATTTAATGCTAAAGCTTATATGTAATTCTATATTTCAAAGTGAAATGCAGGATCAGCATACACTAAAGCCCTTCAACAGATGTAAACAGAATCCATTGCATAAACTCCATTTAATCAACAGCAGCCCCATTTGATTATACTTAATCTTTAACCTGACATACATGTTCCAGAGATATATTCCATTCAGATTTGTAAGTACAGCATCAAATCAATAAAGGAAAAAATTTCATACAGTAAATATAATCTACCTCATGAAGTAGCTACAAATTAAGAAAAAAACCAAAACAAGATGTTTGATGTTTTTGAAACAAAACTAGAATAAAAAACATTAGAAATAGTGCATCAAATTATTTTTAGCTGTACAATAGATGGAATAAGAGACAAGTTGCATGCACTGGAACAAAGGGGGTTGAGGGCCCTGCTCAAACGAGCTTACATTCTCATGGGAGTGGGGTAAAGTGATTATAAGAGGTAAGGATACATTCTTTCCTTTGGGATAGGACAGTACACTTATATTTTTTTATGATTACGGACAAAGACAGGAATTAATTTTCAGGCTTAAGTGTTCGTGTGCATGACAACACTTTTAAATAACGTAATCACATTTACACTTTTGCCGTGTCAAAATTCCGCCTGCCTTTGGCACTGTAAAATATTTGATGTTTAAACCTATGCTTGGTACTGTGCGTAAAGATTGATCTGCAATTAAAGGGACACTATAGGCACCCTTGTTAGTTTAACCTTGCAATGTAAAACATTGCTGTTTTGCAATGCAGGGTTTAAATGACCTTAAAGGACCACTATAGGCACCCAGATGACTTCAGCTGACATCGATGGAGGAGGAGAGGTCACCAGTGCCGAGGGAGCCCGGCACTGGATTAAGGTAAGCAAATAAATGGTTAATTAACCATTTATTCGCGGCGGATTGGGGCCCTAGTCACCTAAACCGTGACTAGGGATCTATAGCGTTAGGAATACACTGTATTCCTAACGCTATAGTGTTCCTTTAAGTGGATGTCACTCTGGCAGCCAAGTCCAACTCTACTATTTCTAATAGATGGTCTCCTAGAGGCAACATTTTGCCCCTGTATGCGCACTAGCCTCCCAATGCTTCCTTATGGGAAAACATTGGAATGGCAGTTCAACAGTGTATGTGTATATATATATATATATATATATCAAAAATAGAAATAGAAAAGTCCTTGCACTCACGCTTGGATGATTTAATAACCGGGTGCTTGTAATCCAGGAAAATTCAAATAAATTCAGATAGTGATCAGCACTCACGGATTTTCAAGAATTAAAATTAACAATTTATTAAGTATCCATTAAAAGATCAACGTTTCAGTCCCAGCATGCCTGATCCTGATGAAAGTCCCTGCTGGGACTGAAACGTTGATCTTTTAATGGATACTTAATAAATTGTTAATTTTAATTCTTGAAAATCTGTGAGTGCTGATCACTATCTGAATTTATATATATATATATATATACATAGTTGGTCATGTTTTTCAGTTGTTGGGTTACTTCTATTACTGGCTTTTACAAAGCACCAACATATTCTACAACACCTTACAATAGTATAAAGGGAGAAAGAGAATAGCAGCAAATGAGAAACTATTACAAATTTTGACAGGAACAAGCTTAAAGTTGTATGAAAGCTTAAGATTTGCAAACTCTCCGATAAAATGACAACCTTTACACCAATTTTAATTTTATATATTCCACTGGTTAATCCTGAACCATAATTTCCCTCTTTATTTACACAAAAAAAAGCTAAACTGGTATATTTACTTGTACTACAAAAAATGACTTTTCTTACTTAAAACTCAAGAAATGTGCTTTAGTATAGAGCCTTTCATAGTTATGGAATGAATGGATAATAAAACTTATCATGAGCACATAACATAACATTAGTACTTACTAAAGGCGGTTTTAAACATACTCCACATATTTTATTTATTTTGTATACAAAACCAAACCACATATTGCAATATGATCTCCTGGCGTGTTAAATAGAAACTGTAGCTCAAACCGTTCTCTCTTTTACAGAAAAAAAGAAGGGAAAAACAATCCAAAACAATACACGCATCTCCATGAACAGATTACTATTTGTTTCCATGTCCTGATAGAGCTTAAAGGTATACTACCACTTTTACCATTTAAACACGTAGGGGATTAATCAGTAAACACCCAACCTGGTGAAATAAAACCAAATGGCAATGTTTAGGCTAAAATACCCACAATAAGATTAAAGCAGGGTTGGAGAATTATGTTTCAAGTTGGCTATTGGTGCTTACAATTGCAACTGAGTTTTTATTTCACTACTATTTTGTGTTTAACGAATAAACCTACAGTGCTGTTCTCCCAAACGGATGAAAACAAGCATTTACAAGCTATATAAAGCAATTTTTATCAATATTCTTCCATTCACATACCACATATTCACTCCACTTTTTAGCGGCCAAATATAGCCTGGCCCAATACCAACCCACCCTTACTGCTGTCAGAATGTTTATCACGTACCACTGACATAATGAAAACACATACCTGCCACTTCAGACTTTAATAGGGTACAAATAACATAAGTAATGTAAGTACAGTGACTACCAAAGGTCAAGAAGAAAACATAGAACTATAGCCTACTCACCAAATAGCAAGACTTGTGTACAAAATTGGGACAGAACAGGTGACTAGGATGAAATATTTAACTTATCATAGGTTGTAATTTATTTTTCTTCTACAGTTTGCAGGTTGCTTTTTAATTCACCAAAACTCAATATTTAGTCCATGCACTAGCGGTTCCCAAACTGAGTGCCGTGGTGGGCACACAGGGCTGCTGCAAAATGTTTCCCCGGTGAATATAGCACCGGGAACCATACCTCAATCTCCCCTGTCGGGCCTGCAGGACCAGAGGGGAGATCTTCCTCACCGGCTCGCTAGCACTGAGCAGCGCTGGGGTAATCTAACCTGCAGCTCCGCCGGGCTCTAATCTCGCAAGCTCAGAGCTTTGCCGCGGTTACCATGGCAACGCCCCAAATTTTCCAAGAGTGAACTCTAGCCTCAGCTCTCATCACGTGGACCACCAGGGTTTAATACTGCCCCCCTCCTAGGCAGGTAAGCAGGGAGGAGGATATGAAAATTATAAAAAAACATGCATATTTATCTGCCCTCCTACCTCCAAAGACCCACAATAACTCCTCTCATACACACACTGCGCCCCTCACAGAACACTGCCCCCCATGCACACACAGAGTCCATCATACACAATACCCACCCCACACACTGTATCCCTCATACACACATGCTGCCCCATACACACACTGTTATCCCTCATGCACACACACACTACTGCACCTCTCTCAGACACACACACTACACCCTTTTCAAACACAATGCACCCTTCACATGCACATACATTGCACCCCTCACGCACACTACTGCACCTATCCTCTAATACAGCTCATATCCATGGTAAGTTGCAGATCCCAGGTAAGTTATCAAACTGTTCTTAAACAGTTTGACTACTTACCCTGGGAGGGCACTACGGCACTGATGGCACCATAACCACCATAGAGTGCTGTAGTGGTTATTGTGCCTGGATTGATTCTTTAAATAATCTACCAGTGCATCTCCCAAGATTAGGTTCTGGGTCTACCCCTGACCGGGACCTATTTCTGCTGAAGAGGGGCCCAGTATATGCCGCAGCGCTGTACATATATATATATTTGTTTTCACTTGGGGCGCCTTGGAATATTAATGAAATATTGAGGACACATTGAAACTAAAAAAAGTTTGCGAACCACTGCCATAGACCCTTACTTCACACACAGATAAGCTAGTTCATTTGTAAAGTATTGACTTCCTACGTTTTTTTTTTTTAACTTAAAGATACATATTACAAATAGAAAAACCCCAGCAATTTATAAACTAATGCCCATTCAACCCCTCTAAATGCATTAACTGTCTTGTGACGAGGGAGACACAAAGCTTTATTTGTACAATATATAATTACCCATATATACTACCTGACCCATATATACTAGTAACAATATGCTTTGATGAGTGCACCCTTGAGATTTTGTTTAAAAGATTTTATTATAATAAATATGAGATTGCAACTCTTCAGAGCTTCATTGATAAATCCAAATACATACATCCATAAGAGAACAAGTTCATAACCTGGCACTGGTTTGCATACTTTGGGACACGTGCAAAACACCATATGCTTTAGAAAGAAAAGGCAGTTCCCTGGTGCATTAATTGGTTACCTGCATTGAAGATCATGTGCTGGTGAAGATGTAACTTACCCCCTATACTTCTGTTTCAGTGTAATAGTCACCCAAAATGTATTAAATAGGGGGGCGTGGTCTGGCAGCCAACCTTGATGGCCGCATAGCTTGAGGGCTCCTGTGCATCCACAGGCAATCAAGCACCTGCAAATAGCATCACAGCTCACAAACACAACAGCTGCAACTATCAATGTCGAGGCTGTGAGTCCATCATGTAACTCTCTGCCGTGGAATCTTGAGACCCTGAACGGCGCGAGTCTGCCCGGCGGCCATCTTGTGCGGCCTGTGAAGATCAGGATGCCGTGAACATGTCGGAGATGTTTTGGCAGGGTTTCTCAGCCTGGAGATACTCTCGAGAGTATCTGGGAAGTATCAGAGGTGAGATCTTACCTGGCAAGTGAAATTTGCCTGCAACTATCAGGAAGTCAAGGCCGAGATTCAGGCCATGGGAAGCGCACAGCCAATCTAGAACACAGGGTTGAAACAGTAGTGAAGGCACACAACTCAGTTGTGCAACACTCCAATTTGATGGAACCACAGCTCTGCAACCTGGAGATGCTAATAGTGGATTTACCTAACCCATCGAGGCGCAATAACTTGCGCATAAGACGCTTACTGGAAACGCCTAATGAAGGCTCACTACTACTGCAGAAAATGGAGGACTACTTCTAGCACCTGCTGCCTGACATCCCAAGAGAGAGAATGGTGATAGACCAAGAGCATAGAGCCCTACGAGCACGAAGAAAAGAGGGCCAAGCGCCACAGGACATTATCCTACACTTCCATTGCCATACCACTAAGGAAGCCATCTTGTGATACAACAGAGATCATGAGCTCACATTTCAAGGTACAACAATCTCTCTCCACGCACCTTACAACGCAGACGCAACTGGAAACCGATGGCAGATGTACTGCGCCACAATGGGATCCGGTTTACCTAGGGACACCCATTCAAAATAGTGGCCTTTAAGGTGGGAAGAACATATACCTACCTACCTACCAGGGAACCACCTGCTGAAATGCCTCCACAAACTCTCCATTACACGACCGGCGGATTTCACCTTACCGGGACCAACCAGAACGGGCCCCCAGGCACTCCTGAGAGAGTGGTATGAGGCAGGAGAACCGGAGTGGACCAACTGTACCGACAATGGAGATCACTATGTGCACAGCTGCCAGAGTTTGATGACCCAAGAGAGACTCTGATACCACTCTGCCAGCTTAATCCAAGGCAGCTAAGTCATACTGGGGGCTATTATGATGGAACTGTGAGGAGGGGTGTGGGAGATGGCATGCGGGACCACCGCTTACACTCAGGGGATGGTAAGGGGAAACGGATAAATATGTCTGTATGTCATGGGGTACTTGGTGACAAACCTTCTGCAGCTCATAGGCAGTACGTACCAAAAACAAAAATATTGACAATAAAATATGGGGCGAGTGTTAGCCTTTTACAGGCATCAAGTTACCCTGATCACACCAATGCAGGGATGTAATCACCTATAGGGTCTGAGTTAACCGTTCAGCCCTTGAGGAGTGCAGATGTCCGAGAAGCCAAGAGCCTATCCCAATAAACACCCCCCTCCCTCACCAACTTAACAAAAACGCTAACCTTCATATTATATATTTATAGCTAGATGAGGGTTCCCTAGGAAACAATGCTCAATGCCCAATTATTGACTGACCCACCCTGCCTGGAGCACATTACACTCCACAGTGCTTAAGGGGGAGACTAACCACAGGTGGGGAAGGGTCCGATCCAGAATGACATAAATTACGTGACCGGAGAGGGGAGAGCGTCAGACATTGGGTAGCGGGGATATGTCCTAAAAGGCTAAAGGATGTTGAATAAGTTATACGACTAGTACACGACAGCCGCCCGCGTCACCATAGAGGAGGGCAAAAGGCCCTACTCCAGACCTGTTAAACACTATATCCTAAGTGGACGCTGCAAAGTCCTTCAGGGAGCGAACCGCCATTACCAAGACGAACCTCAATACACAATATCATAACATTGAAGGTACTATCATTCAATGTCAAAGTACTAAATTCCCCAAACAAACGCAGATTGCTCCTGACAGATGTAAAAGCTAAAAAAGTTGATATTGCACTACTGCTGGAGACACACCTCCCCAGGTCGGCTCCCGTCAGATTAACTGACTAGACATACACAACAGTATATGAGGCAAGAGAGCGGGGGTAGCAATCCTGGTTCACAAACGGAGCCCTTTCCAAATAACTGTCACCCTGGCTGATCCAGAAGGGCAATACCTGTACATTGGAGGCACCCTCTATAATACCAAAATACACATCCTCAACGTATAAGCATGCCCCCAATGAGCCAGATTCAATGTTCTGGGCAAATCTAGAGACACTGGTTTCCGGTGTGGGGGGAGGTGTGCTTATGGTAGGGGGAGATTTTAACGCGGTAACATGTCTGGCGGTTGACCGCAGCTCAAAACCAGGCACTGTGAGGTCGCAGAGACGATGGGGAAAAGACAAATTGCCACGCACACAGGACTACTAGACGTATGGAGACTACAGCACCCGGACACAAGAGGCTTTACATTCTACTCAACGCCCCATAACCCATACTCTAAAATAGACAATATATTCCTAAATGGGACAATTCACTCAGAAATAAATAGCATTACCTGGTCAGATCATACGGACACCCATGGCAAGCTCCAATACAACTAAAACTGGACATGGAAACTTAACACCAACCTCCTAAAAGATGATGATAACTATCCAAGACACGACCCGAACGGCTCTCAGAGTATTTCGAGGTCAACGTACACCCAGACACGAACCCCACTATGATATGGGCAGCCCACAAGTCTCATCCATGGACACTTTATAAAAATAGCCACACATAAGAAGCAGACCAAAACAAAATTACTACTGGAGTTGCATCAGCTCTACGGAAAGCTGAGCAACAACATAAAACCAAACTTAATGCCCTTAGACACTCAATAAAATAACTCTCACTTGAAGATGTAGCCCGTTCGATCTTATTGTCCAAACGATTATTCTATATGAAATAGACACCCTGCTAGACCAAAAACGGGACGCAAACCTGTAACCAAAATACACAGTGAAACCAATAATGTAGTTACTACACAAGATGCTATTAATGAGGTGTTCAAAACATACTAGTCGGGCCTATACAACCACTCACCTCACATTACAAACGACAATTTAACATATACCACGGACCAACATAAGTTCCTCTCAGAACTGACCATACCAAGGGTGACGGGTGAAGAGGCAGCAACACTGAGGGGCCCAATCACACAAGAGGAGGTGGAGATGGCCATAGAGTCTCTTAAGGAAAACAAAGCCCCGGGACCGGGCGGCTTCGACATAAGCTACTACAAACAATTTAGGGACGAATTAGCCAAACACCTCACAACTCTATGTAGTCACTTCATGCAGGAAGGAAAACATGGCCAACATCATACTGCTACTAAAACCTGGAAAAGACGATACCCTAGCCCCAAGTTACAGACGATATCACTCATTAACACCAACCTCTCAAACGTTTTGGCATCCAGACTCACACCCCTCCTTCCACGATTGATCCACCCAGAACAGGTGGGCTTTATATCTGGGCGACAACTGTATGAAAATACTCGACGGGGAATGGACCTGATGTGGTACATGGCGGAGTCTAAGGTGCCTTCTCTGGCACTCTTACTAGACGCAGAGAAGGCATTTGACAGGATGCTATTCAACCCGCTCCGATTTCAGTGGTTCCAAGGAATCTTTTGTGAAGGCAATAAAGGCTCTTATGAGCCCAGACACTCATAACAGGAGCAACAAGAACCCCATTCTCCTTGTGTAACGGACCAGACGGGGTGCCCCTTATCCCCACTTTTGTTTGCACTAATGTTAGAGCCACTTTTACAAGCTATCAGACAGCACCGCAGTATTCGGGGGGTGGAAGTAATGGGAAAACCATTTACAGTGTTAGCCTATGCCGATGATGTACTTCTAACCCTCCAGAATCCATTAGAATCCCTACATCACTTAATGACACTACTAGACCGTTTCAGATATTTGGCGGACTACAAAGTTAACTACAATAAATCGGTGGCCATGCCCTTTTACCTGACAACCCCGAACAGGGTACTCATCCGCAGCCAATACCACTTCAAAATAAACACGGAGGAATTTACGTATATAGGCATTCGCTTAACAGCGGACCCCAAGACCTTGTTTGCTCGCAATTATACCCCATGTTCCAAACACTATCCAGAGAGTTAAGCCAGTGGACAGATAGACCTATTTCCTGGTTGGGGCGCATACATTCAATTAAAATGAACATCCTACCAAGACTATTATTTTTATTTCAATCACTACCAGTGAGGGTTACCCGGGGAGACCTAGTGGGAATACAGAGGGCAATTGATAAATTTATATGGCAAAATAAGATTAGCTCGCAGACTCTTGTACTGCCCAAAACCAATAGGGGCATTACCCCACATCTATCAGTATTATCTGGCGGCACAACTAACCCAGATTATTCAGTGGCACACACCTCCCGATTGAAGATGCTGGGTAGACCTGGAATCCCTGATGAAGGGGATGGATCTTCCCAAGTTCTACATATGGGTTTCAAGGAACCAACAGGCCCTCCTGAGAATCACAAATCCAGCTATCCTCAACTCCATACAATTATAGGATCAATCAAAGTAGAAATACTCCCTGAGCGACCTCCCGTCTCCTATGACTCCGGTGTTTAGTAACAAAGCTTTCCCGCCAGGAATGAGGGCTAGATATTATAGAGTGATAGAGACAACGGGATTACAAAGATATGTTCATCTATATGTAAATCAGCATATAGTCACTTACGAACATTTGAACACTCTAGTCCCACTCAAAACGCGCAATAACTTTCGATACTTACAAATTTGGGACTTTGCACAAAGTACAGAAGTTAGAGCAGTGGCTTCAGCACAAATGACCATCTTTGAAAAGCTGTGTTTTAATGAAACCACACAAAACAAAGTAATTACATTACTTTACAACCACATTAGCACAGCAACGATAAGGAAGGGGCACTACGCTATGCTGACCAATGAGAGACCAATCTGGGTGAGATGTTGGAGGGTACAGATTGGCAAGAGATCTGGGAAGCGTGTGCAAAAACAACAATATGTGTAACGCTCCAAGAGCAGTCCTATAAAACACTATTCTGATGGTATACAACCCCAGTAAAGCAATATCAGATGAAACTGAACTCCACAGATGCATGTTGGCACCTGTGTGGCGGAAAGGGCACATACATATGTGGTGGAAATGCCCTGCAGTAACAGAATACTGGTGTGAAATAATGGAATGAAGTTCACAGATCCGACTGAGGAAAATAACTGGACCCTTGGGCAATCCTGCTGTCTAGACCCACAGAAGTGAAAACAGAGGGGAAGAGTCTGCGCTTAATAACAGAGAAGAAAGCAGCAACCCTAAAACGGGAATCCCTCAAGACCCTTGGTAAGATAGGAAGAAAAAAGAGGAGTTAAGGGGCTGCGCTATTGTACAGAGAACAGTACCATAAAATAGAAACCAATTGGTTGAAGTGTATAATCAGCAGTGATAAAACCTTAACTCCTCTTTTTAGACCCACAGAAGGCCTGAACAAACACGAACAAAATCTCCTTCGCAAGATCACCTTAGCGGCCCGTAGAGCACTGGCACAAAAATAGTCCTGTTCAGAAATCACCCAAATAGCCCTGGTCATAGCATAACACTGGGACAACTACTTTATGAACAAGCTTACAGCGCAAGTCTGAAACACACTGAATACTTTTAATAAGGTATGGAACAATAGGACACCTACAGTATCACTGAGAACGGGAGCTGATGAAGGGGTGCAGGGACGGGGAGGAGGAGGGGAGACACACGCTCTGGCGGCCGAGGCAGCAATCTAACCAGCTATCTACCACACTAACTTCTGGGAAACATATATACAAAAAATGCTCCAGAACCCCGAAGGGAGGCAGCGGCACCTCCACTAGGAGGGTTTCTGGTCAAGGCTAAGGTACAGGATACAAGCTTATGCTGACTCACTGCTTACGATACAGCAGATCCTGGGCTCAGCTCCTTTGGAGATAGACTTTTTTCCTAGCTCTTCTCTTTGGCTTTACTTTCCTATACACGCTCACTTTTCACTTTCCCTCTCAAGTTACACGTTATAAACACCTGGTGGATGGCAAAAGTGGCACTGTTTAAAGTTAAGCACTGCTGTTGGCCCTTTCGGTAACCCTTGCAAGCCGAAGGCGCAACACGCTGCCAACTGTTAAAATTCTGTAAATCCACCATATATCATTTATATTGTCATCATAGACCATCGGTCTGCTGTATTAACTGTGGAACTGTAAATGTTGGTAGGACCGTGATTAAGCCAGAATGCCATTGTATAAAAAAAAGAACAAAAAAATAAAAAAAACCCTTGACAGACTGAACAAGCCAATCACCATTGTATGATGTGTTTCATGTATTAACTACACACTATTCCTCTCTGTACCATTCATACAACGTTCTATCAACCGAAACGTGGCTTTTACATAAGCCGTAAAGGGTTGAGATGACACAGTCTATTTTACTGACAAAATAAAGAATTTAAAAAAAAAATGTGATTAAATAATATTAGCTACTACAGATAAGAATTACATGTGATCATTTAATTTTTCTAAGGCAATCATCAGCAAAAATATAGACTAAATCTAAGATTCAGTTTATACTTGCAACGTACAGCTCTTGATGAAGCACTCTACTTGTGAAAGGCATCCAGTGGTGTCAGTTCCTTCCCCCTCTGTCATCTAAGTTGAAAAGGGACACTATAGTCACCAGAAGCTCTACAGCTTAATGTAGTGGTCCTGGTGACTATAGCCTGTCCTTGCAGACTTTTCAATGTAAGTGCTCACTTTTAACAGAAAACGCAGTGTTTACATTGGTGCCTAATAACACCTCTGTGACAGTCACTCAGACGGAAACTAGAGGTGCTTCCTAGTCCAGTGCTGCACTGTGTAGCAACTATGTTCAGTGTCTCCACGGTTTGCATAGGGCCACTGAACATTCCCCATAGAGATACAATGATTCAATGCATCTCTATGGAAGATGCGGATTGGTGGAGCTTGGTGTTTTACCACGCACGTGCAATACCCACCCAAACCCTACTTCGCCTCTCTGCTCCAGTAAACCACAATGCACCAGAGTCATTCAAGTTATGCTGACACACTGCAAAGGTTAGACTCCTGATCATATAAAAGTACCATGTATGGCCTCATAATTATGGTATAATACAAGCCAAGTATCCTGAATCTTACCAGAAACTCTGCTCCATCACAAGTAGCACAGACTTCCACTAGTCAAGACGTATGGCAAAAGTTTTGTTTCAACTACCTGAAATAGCACAAGGAGTTTCAAATCTCTACAGATACAAAACATTCCACCAACCTGAAACCAAAAGCTCATTATCGCCTTTCTTTGGCCAAAGGACTTTGCCTAGGACAGCGCCTAATTTGTTCATGCTCCTGGGTACAGGGAGATTAAAGGAGAAAGTTTAATGGAGAGTTATAAGCTAATACATGACTGAATTTTGTTCGGTGACATCAGAAACCATTTAGAACCACAATGCTCTCTGTGAACTGCATTTAACTATCAAAGGTAGTGCAGTATAACGTGACGAGCACACGTAAATTTTCTGACATTTTATATAGCTGCCTAAATGGAAGAGAGAGAAAGGTCTTTAGTAACATGCTGATTGTTCCCATTTTGTAAAGATTCATATATATATATATATATATATATTTATTTTAAAGGGAAAAAAATGTATAAATAAATTTTACGCCAACCACAAAAGAGCAACCGATTAGCAAGTAAACTCAAATAAAACAAAATTAAACAATGAAAACTTCTCAATTTATATAAAATACATAAACCGCAATGTGTTACAAAACACACGCAAAAAAACACCCAAAACAACAAAATACATCAGGATGAAAGATCTTTTACTTTTAAAAAGATTCTATTTTGTCAGATACTGCCAATATATATATTTTTTCACTAATATATACGTGTTCGCTTCCATGACTGCCTTAAAGGGTTACTCCAAGCAATGACCAATTCTGTTTTTTGACACAGTCTTGGTAGTAAGAGTATGTATGTGCAATGTTTCAGCTTTCTGGGTTGCCTAATGTGAATTCTGTCTCCCCTCGGACCCTAATATATCATGCAACAGGTGAAGGATGACATGACCACACATATTGCAATAGCATCAGTAAACATTACAGCTATGTTACACCATCTTGGAAATTAAATATCTACATTTAACACAAGAGCTAAATGTAAATGGGATTGGGACCTGGATATTAGAATAGATTATGTATTGAAGTGTATTTGAAAATATGCCTATACTAAAGCAATGATTTATATATTATGATTTGTTATAAAAACAGAATTAAGTTATTTTTGCCAATACATTACAAATACGTTTTTTCAGTGCTCTTTAAAATGTATGACTTTTAACCTGTTGATCGGAGGCTGTTTAAAGAGATCAGTGGTTATGTATACAGAGTGATTATAAACAAAATATCTAAAAGTGGCACCATCAGCAGGAAGATTTGACCCGTCTAATCCTTGGTTACTGAAATACTTTTAGAGCTCTGCCCCAAACAGCTACTCACACACAAACCAGACAGGGTAAATTATTAAACCTAGAAACTGCACAATTTAGGCCTCAATGGCCATGCCATAGGCATAGCTGAGATGGAGATTCTCCCCTCCCAACATGGTAGTCCCCGCTTAACATTTCAGTTCTTTGATTCCAGTTTAGTAAATAACCCTGTCCGTGTTTTCTGTTGTCCATGCTAAAGACAAACTAGTATACTGTTCTGGACTTTGACACATTTCCTACAAAACAAGCAGAAGAAACAAGATTGCAGGCCGTGAGAGCTTCAGGTAAGTATAACACATTTCAGTTGCACCCCCAAGCCCTTGCACACCAAGTAAGGTTTTCACCTTTGGGGATATTTGCACTATATGCAAAAAATCCCTAGGAGGTTAAAGAGCCGCATTAATAAGTTGCCAAATAGCTCTCCATTCTGACCATGCAGCTCTGCAGGCAGTGTTCCAGCAGTAATCTGGACTTTTTTTCCAAGTTGGAGTGAGCGATTCCACCACTGCCAACCAATGTAACAGAGCATCTCCAATATGCTGCCTCCCTCGTATAGCCAAGACATGAAAAGTTATCACAGCAAGCCTAGCAGTTTCTCCAAACATCAACCGAGCCTTGATAAAGGGTAAAAACTAAATATACTTTATACTACACACACCTCCAGGGGTGATGAGATTTTCAAAAACAAGTTCTGTCCCTGACGCCACTCTGTCTGGACTGATAAAGAGTCAATCCCCCCACTGAGTCCTCTCCAGACAGGGTACTGGGAAATTGGAGTCCTAAAACCCCCATCCCAAACATAGAACTTCCACAACCAACAACCCAGTCACTAAGCTACCCACTGTTCAAAGAGTACCTTGATTCCACATATGGTGTCCAATAACCAACAGGTTAATGGTGTGACTAGCCGCGGCTAAGTTTGACTAAGTTCTGAAACTGGAGTTCTGAAACGCGGCAGTCTAGGACGTCTGTCTCACCCCAGTCTCTACCAGGCTGCTATCACAACTGGATGGCGGACATCCTGGACACTCAAGTAAGCTACATTTACTGGGTATGGGAAAAAACTCAGGGATGGCGAGTCCTTTACTCTTCAGAGTATTCTGTAACTGGGTCCCATAGTCTGTGGGGAGGAAACTGGCCTTCAATCACCTCAACAAACTACAGGAAAGGCTTCAGTTACAATGGTCACCCCAGAAACATCGTCAGAAAAAAAAAAAAGGTAACCAACAACACCACAAATTGGATCCCGACCTGTTACTGGGCAGATGTACCTAATAAGTGGACACTGAGAACACATTAAATCAGACAGGCCATATCCAGCTAAATCTTTCATGAATACGATAATAATCACGGTTGGTGTTTTCTTTTGGGTCAAAGACTAGTAGCACTTTTAAAAAATGTACTTAATTTATTTTCCTTCTTCCTCAAAAGAATAGAATAAGAATTCCTTATTCTGTCATTGTCCCCATCACATTTGCAGCAATCTTTATGCTTTACCAGCACCTGTATAATAAAATGACTTTTTATTTATATATTTTTTGCAGGTTACTTGCTCTTTGTCTGGTTTACAGGATGGCCACTGTCTAATGGCTTTGAACTGGTGTCCCTGAGATTCCTTTGCTTTCTGAATGAGACATACTGGTGTGTCTCCCTGCTTCTCCCGTGGGCATCCATCAATGAAGAATTGGTTCACATGTACTTACACAGATGGGGGAATCTTGCTGGAAGTGCACAAACTCTCTTTCTGCAAGCTTGTCTTATTAGTCTGACAAGTTGGCTGGTTGCAGCCTCCTATGGATTTAATTGTTTCAGAGGTTTTTCTTTAAAGGTAGCAGAATGTGACCTTCAGATCTGGCGCTGTCTCTTCACATACCTCCACGAGGCACCAAACTTTAACTTGCTCATCCCATTCACTGGTGTGGTACTTGGTGGCACACTGTCCTGCAGCATTTTTGTATACAACCACTATGCCCCATTTAAAGTAGAAATTGGAGAAAAACATTACAAATTATCTATGAAAGCTCTGCTGTTCAGCATAGTGGTTGTAGGCTCTTTCTGGGCTCTCCCGCCAGTTTTAGCAGTTAGCTCACTTTCCACACTGTCACTGGACACCCTGCTTACCATTTTTAGAATCCATAATCTAGAACAACTGAGCACAGTCCACACTGAGACTATTAATGAAAGTAAGGACCTGGAAAACTATCAGGTACAGACACATGCTGTGCAAATAACAAAAAACAACAAGTGGGAAGAGCCTTGGACTCTGCAAATAATCTAAAGATTAAACATTATCCAGGTGATTACAAGTTAAAAAATAAAGACCAGAAGCAAAGGACAATATGGACACAGGTTAACCTGACAGTAGGACTTAATAAAATGTTTGGAAGTGTGCAGATAGTATGAGACCGTGTCCATCACAGCTGAGAGGGGTATGATAGAATAGAGGAAAAAGAGTGGAAGAGATGATAAATAAAATAGAGAAGCAACCATATAAATTGATTAGTAGGTTATGACAAGATCATGACAAAGGCCGTTGTAGCGGTCAAAGCGTAGCTGCTATGTTCACGCTGGGTACTGTTTGAAAGTACATGCTTGAATACTTATTCTTTATTGTTAAAATCTGTACTGGTTTGGGCGAAGACGGATTTGGAGCACCCTGTGTAGTAGATGCTGTTCCTCTTACTTTGGATTCAAACATAGTGTTCAGCATGACAGGGGAGAAGCATGATATGGATTGTTTGGCTACGTTACCTACCTGCTGCTCATCTTCATCATCTGCATCAGGATCCTGACACAATGTCTGTGGGTAGAGAGGTAAATTAGGCCAAGAGCAGCAGCACATGTGGATATTTACAATCATGTAGTTAGTATGCGTCCAACCTTGCATTGTAAAACGGCTTGGATGACAGTACACAAATTCTCCAATTGTGAAGGCTCTCTTATACAAAGCTCCTTTACTTCTTTCAGTAGGTGGTTCAAAGTGTCCAGGATAGACATGACCACTGCACGTTCTTTATCGTGTAGCGCCCCATGCAGGCAAGGAGGGATTAGGAGAGAGAGGAGACACAACAGGGCTAGAGAGAAAAAAGGGTATGGCAAGTAAGCAACAAAAATGTGCAAATCACAATTAAATGCGTGTAAACAGAAGTTGAGAAACAGAGGGCTGGAAAAAGAGCAGATGCAGAAGAGGTGAGAAATAATGACTCTGGAATACTAATTTATAGCATGCTCACAAAATAAATTAAAGGACCACTCTAGGCACCCAGACCACTTCAGCTTAATGAAGTGGTCTGGGTGCCAGGTCCAGCTAGGCTTAACCCATTTTTTATAAACATAGCAGTTTCAGAGAAACGGTTATGTTTACAAATGGGTTAATCCTTCCTCCAATTCCTCTAGTGGCTGTCTCATTGACAGCCGCTAGAGGCGCTTGCGTGATTCTCACTGTGAAAATCACAGTGAGAGCACGCAAGCGTCCATAGGAAAGCATTGCAAATGCTTTCCTGTGCGACCAGCTGAATGCGCGTGCAGCTCTTGCCGCGCGTGCGCATTCAGCCGAATGGGAGGAACGGAGGAGGAGAGGAGCTCCCCGCCCAGCGCTGGAAAAAGGTACGTTTTTACCCCTTTTCTCTCCCTAGAGCCGGGCAGGAGGGGGACCCTGAGGGTGGGGGCACCCTCAGGGCACTATAGTGCCAGGAAAACAAATATGTTTTCCTGGCACTATAGTGGTCCTTTAAGTATTATCAGGGCAAGGTCTCCTGCCATGTAGGTAGAGTGGTTTATGAAAGTCTCCAGAACACCGAATACAAAATTTTACATTAAGAATATTTTATATCCCATGATTCCAAATATATTAAATTTGGGTTTATGTTTAGTGTTCTTTAAATCTTAGGTATGACTATGAGATAGTGGGACTTATAGGCAACCGATGCGATCTTTAATAAAGCCCCTTTCCTTTAGTGATATACCAGCAGAGGAGCCGGGGAGACAGAATTTAAATTCTCACTCACAAACACACTTGTATTTGCCATGTATGCATTTGAAAATCTTTGATTGCTCACAGTTGAAATGCAAGAAATCAAAATGCATTTTGAATTGCACTGCTTAAAGGTTATTTGCCAACACAGTCTTTTTGTAAGGTTAACATTATATTTAGAAAGTATAGTCCTCTCACATCATACATTCCCATCATTCTCTACTGCATCTTTTCTAGCAGCCAATTCCTTACTTTTCTTATTTTATGTAGCTTGGCAATCCTTTGATTATATACTCTCACCTGCTGTGTTGGCTTCACTTGGGTTCTTCTTACACACATTATTCATGGAACGTACTAACTGCCCCAAAGCGTCATATGCTGCCTTCCGGACTCCGGTATAAGGAGACTGAGGGTGGAAAACATTTAGCAGGTTGCAAAAATATGAAATTCTCACATAAAGCAGGCAAGAGATAATTCTGGTCTCAGCCATTCTGCAATATCATTGTTAGATGACTGCAGGGCAGCCATTAGCATCTACTTGTTTTTCTAATGATGCAGCAGTACGTTGACAAGGTCAAATTCATACCCCTTAATTTACTCACACTCTTGTGTGTTTCAATATTGTGAATATTTGAATAAATTGATTAAGAGGGTTTCTCTAAAATAAAAATGGCAAAGGGCCCACTTAAAAGAAGAGATGTTGTATTCGGATTGCAAGTAAATAATCTACATCTTTTCTAACAATAAATAATTACGACTGGTAACAAAAATCTATACAGTGTATAGATGGAATTGCATTACCTATCTTGCCATACATGTATTCCAGTTGAATTAACTTAGAGATGGTATATAAATCATTCTTTTTTGTAAATATGAATTTATGTTAACACACAAAGTTAAATCATTATGGTAGCATGTGAATGTATCACTTGTGCATAAAGGTGAAATGGTAACTTTAGGAGTAATATGATTCATCAGCAACGTTTGAAATGAATTGGTGTTTAATTAAAGCACCAGGACAAGTTCAAGTATGGATTTAAATGTTATAATATATTATTGGTGCAAGCCAATGTGCCATATATTCTAGTGAAAGGCAAGTCAGGAAAGAAAAACAAACATAAACAGCAATATCCATTTACATTCAACACAAAATTTAATCTTGTGGTCCAAGATCACAAAAAAACAACACAAAAACAAAACGGAAAACAATGCTTAGACGTACCAACACTTGTGCTAAGCTTGCAGTTGCAATAATAATTTTTATTGTTGTACTCTAGCAGTGCTAAATAACGTTATACATTGAATTAGTACAGTAAAAAAGTTGCTAGCAGAAAAGATGGCCAGTTGGATTTATATTCTAGAGACTGTTGCCCTTCATAAAAAGGACATGTCATTTAATTTTGCCTGACCTAATACTTTAGTTTGAAAGCAAAGCCAAAGAATTGGGAGCAGTATTTTTCTATGATAATGATGAATATGTTATCAAGGTCCAAAATACAGTAGCCAAGATATCATCATGAAACTAAATATTTTGATTCACCCCACAAGCCAAATCAGTGCACTAACAGATCAAACATATGAAAGCCTAGAAAAACACTCAATAAGAGCTGATTACATTTAAGTTAAATTTCTATGTATGCAAACAGACTAAATTTGACATCTATAACAAAAGATAAAAGTTGCCATAAGTTTCTTTCACAGGACTTGAATTCTAATTGTATTCCAATTAGTTGGAATTAAGAAGCAGTCATGACATTTTTGATTTCAAGTGTGTCATTTTCTTCTCTGGCATCTCTCACTGCCCAATTTACCTAAAATCAGGGCTATGCCTAAAAATACAAGCCTAATTCCAAAGACATTTATATTTTTTCAAATGAAATTAATTTATTTGAATGCATTGCTGACCCATTATTCTTTCTTACCATGTGTACCACTGGTATAAACAGAGAATAACAGAAGATAAAAGGAGAACAATTAAACTTTTGGAGTCATCAGTGTCTAGTTATCAACTGGTGTTAGATCCCCATTAGGTGAGGGGGTGCGTTCTACTTACCTCAATATGCTTAGACATCTCCTTGAAGCATGAATCAAGATAAGGGAAAAATGAAGAGCTAAAAAAAGAGAGAGCACATACAAAAAGTAAAAAGAGGAGCCAAAAAAAAAAAAAAAAAAAGGAGATAGTCCCAGGATGTGAGTTGCTAAAAGGAGAAAGAAAAATATAGAGGAAAAACAGATAAACAGGTATGAGACAAATACATAAACATCTATTTTTTGAATTGGAGGTAACATAAGCTAGGGATTGATTTTGCAGACAAACATGAAGACAGATGAAACGACAAGTAATATCAGTGTGGCAGATGTTGCAGATCCTTACCTTGCATTGTATGCAATCTCGCCTAAAGCTAAGCAAGCATCTTCTTTTTCCTCTATGTAAGAGTTCTCCACACTGAACCTGACAGATACAAATAGTATATGGCAAGTCATGTATTTCCTTTGTTAAATTCTACAACTACTAAAGTGGAAGTAAATTTTTAACGATTTTAATGGATTAGTAAAGCAACATGTGGTATGTTTCAATGCCTTTTTTTTTTTTTTTTAAAAGCTCTGTCTTCTGATCTAATTTTGACAACTCTTGTGCAAGGCATACACTTGGGTCTCTGGAAGAATCAGGCTTACACTCATAAGCAAGTACCCAATAGCTTAGTTCAGAATTCAACCATTACAATCGCGTGGAGTCAGCAAGGCAGCGTATGAAATTCCACATAGTGCTCTTGAGGGAAAAAAAATCAACTTAAAGGAGCACTATAGGGTTAGGAACACAAACATGTATTCCTGACTCTATAGGGTTAAAACCACCATCTAGCCACCCTAGTCCCCTCATACCTCCCTAAAAATAGTACAATCTTACTAGTATTCAAGTCTGGAGCTGCAAGCTTTGTCCCCGTTTCCTGTAGACCTGCCCACTGACATCAGCAGAAGTGGTAGCCTGATCCAATCACAATGCTTCCCCAGACCATTGGCTGAGACTGACAAAGAGGCAGATCAAGGGCAGAGCCAGCACAATTCAAACACAGGTCTGGCCAATCAGCATCTCCTCATAGAGATTAATTGAATCAATGAATCTCTATGAGGAAAGTTAAGTGTCTGCATCCAGAGGGTGGAGACACTGAATGTTTGGATTCTCTGAAAAGACAGTGTTTACAGCAAAAAGCCTGAAGGTAATGATTCTACTCACCAGAACTAATTCAATAAGCTGTAGTTGTTTTGGTGAATATAGTGTCCCTTTAAACTAAAAAATAGCTTGTAAAAGAAATAAATAATTTTGGACCTTATTGTTCTAATTCACCAGTTACAGAAATGTTTACTTTGACTGTGAATGGTTAACGGGGGGTACTGAAGGAGACCAAAGAGAAAGTTATTCTCATGTCGTTTGTGAAACTTGATTTTGAATGTCTTGTGGGATATTTATTTATTTACAGATATCAATACAAGTTTGAGATTTTGTATTTAGTTTTGTCTAACTCTTGGAAATAAAGAGTCAAATGTGAATTAACCCACTGTTGTCTGCAGTCATCTTTTGTGGCAAAATAACTAAGCTAACGTTTGCCACTCTTTTCTTTTTACATATAACTATTACTTTGAGATTTAAAAAAAAAAAATTGGACAGTTATGCCAATCTTTACCAGTGCATATTGAATATTGAGAAGCTTTAGTTGTTCAAATAATTTTATATTTATAGCAACGCTTGTGTTCTATCTTCTTATCACACTTTTACAGGCTGTGATTTATACACAGTTGTACAGCAGGCCACATTTCAACAAGATTACATTTCTATGGCACACCTACTTTTAATTTTTTTACATTCAGCAGCTTGTGAATGTACATTTAAATGAAGCCTTACTAGAGTGATAGGTATACTGTAAATCAAACTAACTAGTTATAATAAAACTGTTTTAAACTTGTTTGAAAAAAATGCTTAAATCGCTTCACTGATTACAGCTCTGAAGTCAATGTGTTTTTAACAAAGTTAAAGTGGGCCACACCAAACCAACATAGATTGGCCCTCTGCAAAAGCAATGATCACACAGAAATTAGACGTCTGCATGATCAAAATTGGTCCAACCTTGGACCACAACGATAGGTTGAATGCTGGGATTTAGTTAAACCAGCCTATAATTGATGCTCTAAATAACACAGGCTACTGTAGAAGTCCATTTTACCATTAGGCAAGCTGAAACAGTAAGGCCTGACCACCTGTACTTCAGAGAGTTACAGAAACCTCACCCTTCAATGTCTGGATCCTCCTCCTCCTCTTCTGCATCCTGAATCACATCATCCTCATCGGCTTCATCTTCAAAGAGCATGAAGGTGCGATTCTCACTGTAATGGACCTGTTACATGTGGGCCAGGGTAAAGAAAGGAGGGGAAGGATAAAATTAATGAAACAAGAGAGGGCAAGAATTCACACAGAATAGAGACGGACGCAACACAAGACAAGGGAAGATAAAAGAGATAAGTGTGAGAGTTTGCAAAGAGAGAGCAAGGAATGTACAAATAAGGATTATAATAGAAGGAAATGATGAAAGGGACAGGTGTATTGCACTCAGCAAGTGCTTTGAAACAAGTAATACATTTATTGGAATGACAGTATTGTTTTCAGAGATTTGAAAATCTCATGGGATGCTACAAGAATAACTCCGAGGAAAGGATAACTCAACAACAGTCTATTACGCTTACAGATATCATCACTGTACAGGAATAGTAAGTATGTTACAAAAAATAGGTGAAAAATAACACTAATTAAAGGGATACTATAGGCACCAAAACAACGTTAACTTAATGAAGCATTTTTGGTGTGTTGATCATGTCCCCGCAGTCTCACTGCTCCATTTATTGCCATTTAAGAGTTTAATCACTTGGTTTATACAGACCTAGGGCACTGCTCTGTTAATAACCTTCTAGATCCTGCAGGAGCCTCCTGTGGGTGATTACAGTTCAATTTACAGAGCAGGAGATTAAAACTTCTTAAGTAAGTTAGCATCTGATTGAAAGTGTTAATCACAGCAGCACCAGCAGCTGAGAAAAGTATGGGCTTGGAAAGGCAGAGTAGGTGCATGACATGCCTTGGCTTCAGGCAAAATATTTGCAGTTTTTGCAAAGTGTTTTAGATATACCATTTGTAAAAAGTGCTTGATTAAATGCATGTATGTCTTCATTGGGAGTATATCGACAAAAAAGGACTGAAAGAAGAACTAGAAAGGATGTGGAAAGTGAAGGCGGTAGTAGTCCCAGTTGTGATTTGAGCAATCGGGGCTGTGACTCCCAAGTTGGGGGAGTGGCTTCAACAGATTCCAGGTGGGACATCGGAGATCGCTGTCCAGAAGAGTGCAGTTCCAGGAACAGCTAAGATACTGCGCAAAACCCTCAAAACTCCTAGGCCTCTGGTAAAGGATCCGAGGAATAAACATACCACCCAGGAAGGGTAAGAAAATCAATTTGTATAAATGGTGTGTATATATGTATGTATGTCAAAGGAGTTTTTAATCACTTTTTCCCCACCATACTTTATTTTTTTTGGTTTGTGTTCCGCAAGCAACACTTGTAAGCTAAATAAAGCACATCCTTGGAACTTATCAAGTCCTTGGAGTGCACTCTTTTTGGAACATATAACATATATAATTTATATTATATCTGGGAAGCGATGTATCCTCCCTCCATCACACAGGGTGTGTGTGTAAACCAGTAGATGCACTGAAGATGGCTTTACATTACATGTATATCTTACAAAATAATACATGAAGAGGCTGTAACACATATAAGGTTTTATTTTAAATAATAAAATATGTTCAATTTTCTTTAAGATGGGTTGACTTGTACAACTAACAAGGAGAGAAAATCCAAGGTCAATATTGAGCTACTTCAAGCAGGACAAACTTACTGAAGCTAACCAGCAGCATTTTAATGTTTTGTCTAGTTGTCAAAAAAGAACTATGTGACAACCCACATGTCTATGTCTAAATAGAATTGTCAGAGAAAGGACAAGAATCAGAGAAACACACTGAATGGAACAAACAGAAGTTTGGGGAGCTAAAAGTGTCAGTTTAAAGCAGTGGTGGCTAACCTTGACACCATAAATTGTTTCTGGACTACATTTCCCATGACGCTCAGCTAGCATTTAGACTATAAAAGCTATCTGAGCATTATGGGAAATGTAGTCCAGAAACAATTTATGGTGTCAAGGTTAGCCATTACTGGTTTAAAGGCTGTTGTAGTGGGTATGTGCCAGTAGTGGCCTTGTGCCCCCAATGTAGCAAACAAAACACTGCAGAATAATTTCCTTTAATTCAGACAAGAGGTGCCCATTTAAAGCTCTGATGATGCAGTTAAATTATTGCCTACTGAGCACCAGAGAATTTCATTACAATTTACATTTTGAAAAAGTCATAACTTAATAAAATGATGTCATCTGCAAATACACCACAACATGTGTTATTGGTTGTAATGCTTTACTTCAAAGCATACATTACATTTTTACTTTGTGCTATTACTCACCACTATTCCTTCCTTCGACTTCAGGGACAAAAGCATTAACGTTGTCATTTTCTCTAGATGCACAGAAATTGAATCTTCCATGATCCCAGACAGAGCAGCAAATAGGCTGTAACTATAATTTATAATGTGTCAGGGCTACATTTGGCATGATTTGGTAAAAGGAGCACTAAGTAGAACACAGCCTGCTGTAATAATGATTCCTAGTGTTCTCCTGTGTTTTAGTATCAAACTGCACAAGAATGATTTAATATAAATTAGAGTTCTAATATATAGTAACCTGGTTTACAGCAGGTATGCTTGAGTTAGAAAGGCAGCTGAAACACCCAAACCAGAGTCTCTCAATTTCGGTCCATTAGTAAGTACATAGTATGTAGTGCCTTGATGCATTTCTCAAGGTAGGTGTAGTCTCAGAGGTAGTGGGATATATAAAAACAAAATAATACAGCAGAATATAGTGTAATATATCTTGCGCAAAGTAAGAATATAACAAACAGAATTGCACTTGCAGTTTGTAGAGCAAAGGCGAACGCTTTTGAAAAAGCCTTTTTGTGGCGAAACTCGTTAAGTGTTATTTTACTACTTTGTATTGCTTTTATTATTTTATGTACTAGTGAATTAAATAAAGCAGCTGTTTGCTAACCTCTATGGACTTCACTCTGACCTTTCGTGGGACAGCATATTCCTGAACGCTGTGGATTGAGCAAAACCTAATTTTTGCTCTCTATTTTATTACCTCTCTTAATTTTATACTTACAACAACAGTGAGCACTATATTTTTTATTCTTGTTTTTTTATATATTAACTACCAACAAACCTGTGAGACCCCAAAGTGGGGTGAACACAATCCTGTGTCACCATACCTAGATGGGGTTCCTCTGCATGAAAGCACTTTACAGAAGACACAGAATATCTCTAAGCGGGAATGTACCGCCCAAGCTCAGAGAGATCTACCGTTGCTGTACAAACTGTAAGTGCAATTCCATTTGTTATATCCTTACTTTATGCAAGATATACTACACTATATTCTGTATTCTTCTGCTTTTACATATCCCACTACCTCTGAGACTACACCTACCTCAAGAAATACATGAAGGCGCTACACCGTCTACTTATTTTATAAATCAGAGTTCTACCTGGTGCCCAAAGAACACTCCCTTCGTAGCCACACTGAAGTTAGATTAACGCAGCAAGATTCCATTACACAAACATAAAGAAAGAGACAAAACAGATCACAGATATGTTGCCTACAAGCTGTTTTGCAACAACTCAGCCACAGACAAATGTATTTTTCTTTTTGAATGAATCTGAAACATTGTGTGGCTTCTTGTTTTAATAAAGCTTGGGAACTACTGGCCTGTAAATTCTTATCTAACAGTTGTTTGGTAATTTGATTAAACTAAGCCTGCAGTCTTGACAAGGAAAGCTTTATTCCTGGCACTATCGCTCCCCATGCCTGCCCCCTCCTCGGTAAATAGTTACTCACCTTATGCCACAGCCGATGTCCCGTGGCACTGGGTTGAAGCTCCTCCTCTGTCCTGCGACAAGTAGGTTCTAACGAGCATGCGCGGAAAATGCTGTGTGCGCATTAGACTCAATGCTTTCCTACGAGGAACAATCTGATGCTGGAGTTATGCAGAGTGTCAGGACGCCAAGCGTCAGATACCGTAAGGTCCGTTTTAAACCAGGAAGCCCTCTACTGGCTGTCTGGTGGCTGCAGCTCTAGGTGCAAAAGGGACAGTGCACCCAGACCACTTCAATGAGCTGAAGTGGTCTAGGTGCCTACAGTGTCACTTTAAGAAAATCTATTTACTAATGAATGTGCATTTTCCATACAGGATGAGTTTAGCAGAGATTTAACTCAACCACAATTATTCCCAGGACAATGGATATAGGAAATACTGAATTCACATACATAATGGAGTACTATAGACAATATGCCATACTCACCAACATAAGCCACTGCATAGTCTTTTTATAACGTGGACTTTTAGATAAGCAAAGAGCCACTTACCAACATGCAAAAATGCCAATATGGACATGCAGAATAAACACACTACACAAAGGTCTACAGAAAATCTGATGAAACTCACGCGCAGCGCCTCATATCTGGGTCATCCATTCTGTCACAAAGACCTAGTCCCAGAAGACAGCAATCTTCTGCCAAAGGTAGGAAGGCATCTTTTCCTAGATTTCGTACCAAAACGCCAAGCGTTTCTGGGAAAGGATGTAGGTATTAAAATAAAACAATAAAAGCAGGATCACAGCGATTGAAAATGCACTAGTTTTTGTCAGAACATTACCCAAATATATTTTCTTTATAATTTTTCCCCCCGCTCATTTAAAAAAATAAAAATCCAATTTTTTTCCATCAGTCATCATCATCAATCATCACTTACCAAGACATTGTATCTGTATGTGTTTTCCTTCTTCTCCAGTCTGTACAAGATGAACTTTTAAAGACTCCATCACGGAAGAGAAATATGGTAAAAGTAACTTCTCTGCACCATTGGCTATGGAGAAAGATACAGTCACTCATAAGAGAAAATTAGCAAAGGCTAAGAAATTGAGATGGAACTGTCCCCCCACTAGTAAAGGGAGATTACTAGAAGATGTTAAGAAGTAATAGACGGCAATATATAACAAGTTAAAGAAATTGAACTTGGCACAACAGAGAGGGAATAATAAATAATGGCAGAGTCAAGGTGGCTTTAAGAGATGGGCTACAGGAAAAAGAGAAAAAAAAATAACAATGCACCGGTTTGTTTCCTCACCAATAGCACCAAGAGCACTCACTGACAGCTCTTTCACTCTGTTACTGTTCGAGTTGTCTAGGGACACCAAGATCCGTTCCATAAGAGTGGGCAGGTATGGTTCAATCTTACTGCCTGCAGAAATGCCGATTATTATTCAGTGTCAAGTTTTCTCACCAAAACGCTTATGACTAGTTACTTGCTTGAACTTCATCATAACCATTAACTCTTTACATGGCCCCACACAACCCATTTTACAACATTATATAACATCTCACAATTATTCCTCCTAAGAAACCTGTTAGGAATCAAATGCAGTTATCAGCCTTATTCTCTATAATCCTTAATACCTCCCCCGTACTGTAACTCCACTTATTGTTGATAATATCATGTAATCTTTAACAACTCTCACCGAGATTCTCCACAAAGTTCTCCAGTGCATAATAGGCTTTTGTTAGATGTGCAGTATGGGATGGATCAACTTGGGAAATATACCCCAGCAGAAGAGGAAGTACTGAATCTGAATATTCACTGATATCCGGCTAAAACAAATAAATTTTAAAAAAAATCAAGGGGCAATCACGTAATGGGGAACAAAAGAAAAGAAATATGAATGAGAGAGACCAGAAGTTTAAAAACAATAAGATTAAAATCAATGACAATTTCGATATGAGATGCAAATGAATAAAAATCAGGAGAAGAATGGGAAAATAGCAAGGAGCAGAGGAGGAAAGGAAGAGTGTGGACACCATGTGACAAAGAGGAAAATAGGCTAGAGGGGCATATCGAGTCCATTCGTTTTCTGTCTGAAAGTTAAATTCTTCTGCATTACCGTACCAAGTCTTATTTTTAAACATAGCAAAAAACTAGTTACAAGAGCGTACTGGGAACGGACAACAGCTACTACAAGAACCAGGCCCATTTGCATATCAGACTCCCACCCAAAAGGGCAAAACAGATCCACTATGCGGGCCGGCTTTCTCTGCACAAGTTGCAAAAGAGAACTGAGAACGGACAACAGCTAAATTAGCCTGCCCTTTGGAGTTTCCCAGCTGAGATCTCAAGTTGGGGAACAGTCTGATACGCAAATAGCCAGGTTCATTTTGAAATTGCACAAGATGAGCAAAATTGCTCTCCCTAAGTTTAAAGGGTAATCTAGACGTGGACCCCTTGCTAACGGTGCCTAGCGGGATATCTGCTATACCTCACTGATGATGCCTAACAAGGTTGAAACGATCATCTGGTGTTGCTGTATCTCTCGTGCAGAGAGAGCCGGCTTGCATATTGGATATGGTCTGCCATTTGGGTGGAATCAATCTGATACGCAAATGGCCTGGTTCTTTTTGTAATGGCACAAGATGAGCTAAAACTAGCTTGAGATCTGAGCAGGGACCCACCGAAGGGAAGGCTATTTGAGCTGGTGTCCGTTCTCAGTACTCTCTTGCACCTTGTTTTTTTATTGGCTAATGGTGTAAGCTGATGGCCATCAGCCAATGAACGCTGTTTAAACATGGTATATATGAGTATGATAATAAGGTAATATCAACATAATTTTTATAAGACAAAGTAAAACAGAAACCCTGTGGGCACCTGACCCAGTAAGATAAGTTTGAAACTATGTATAAACTATTTGACAGGTTACCAGTGAATGGGGACTGGGGTCTCCTGGCTCCATAGTGTGCTATAGTAATTATGGTGTCAAGGATGTCCCTTAACCCCTTAAGGACTAAGCCAAATATACACGTTGTGAACAAAACAAAACGTAAACAAAACCTGGCATTTGCGCTATATGTCTGTCCAACCGTAATTCACCTCTTTCATATTAAATGCACCCACCCTTATTATATATCATTTTATTCAGGGGAAACAGGGCCTTCATTTAATATCAAATATTTAGCTATGAAACATAATTTAATATGAAAAAAATGGGAGAAAATAAGAAATGTTATTTTTTTAGTTCTACATGACATTTTAACTGTCAATGTCATAATACTGTTTGCTTTTACTGCAATAACATACACATATTTGTATTCAGCAAAGTCTCACGTGTAAAACAGTACCCCCTATGTACAGGTTTTATGGTGTTTTGGGAAGTTACAGGGTCAAATATAGCGCATTACATTTGAAATTGAAATTCGCCAGATTGGTTACGTTGCCTTTGAGACTGTATAGTAGCCCAGGAATTAAATTTACACCCATAATGGGATACCATTTGCAATAGTAGACAACCCAAGGTATTGCAAATGGTGTATGTCCAGTCTTTTTTAGTAGCCATTTGGTCACAATTAATATATAAAAGAAAATAGCAAAAGTGGAGGATTGATCGCCTCGTAGGAAGATCGGGCTGATCACCTCCAAGCCACCTCAAAACGACATCTCAAAAATAATAAACAAATTTATTGAGAAACCTTATTAAAATCAAAAAGGAAAACACATCTATTTCTAGATAAAATAAATAACTGGAGCCCAATATATACGGAAAGAATGACTGATGTATAAATATGTATATATACTGTGGTATGGCAGATACCTATAAATAAAGTATAATACATATATAGATACATAAAAACCGTAGATTGTATATTGCAAGCCCAATACAGAATATAAAATATGGCTAAATTATAGATGCAGTACTATAATAAGTACCTGTGCAAAGGAGTAGAAGATAAATGTAGTAGTGCATATATAAAGAGCCATAAATTCTGCACTAAAAAACTAATTTGCTGCAGAGTGTGGCTAAATAGACCATATCGGAATGTGGAAAAAATCGTAGTATAATGAAACAATGAATCACAGTATAAAGCCACACTAGTAGCCAAAAACTCGAAGGCGAAGATATTGGCCTACCGGTATACCCTGTTTAAGGGGCCGCGGATGATGGCTAGTCCAGTGTAGAAGGGAATTGGTTGCTGTAGGTTTACGAAACAGCGTAGAGTGGAATGTACCATCTTCACTGATACTAATGGTGACATCAAGGAAATTTATAGAGCGTCCTCCGAATTCTGATGTATGTATTTTCTCTATATACATATGTAGATATCTATATACATTTCCCCGCACCAATCCAATATAATATAATATATTTATAGACTATGTCAATATTTATAGGTTGATAGGGATCTTGTTGTTTGTAATCTATTAGTTATACCACTGGATAATGAATAGAGTTGTGTATATATGTTCATTATTACTTTAATTTATTTTATTTATTCATTAGTTATTTATATTTATAATACCACTCTTGTCTCTATATAATGTATGTTTGTGATTCACTGTAAATATGATGGGAACGCAACATTTAATTTCTTTTCTGTTTGATTATCTATCTATTTAGTTATGTATATTCTGAACTTTCTACCCCTTCTTTACTCCCTATTTTTGAATGCCACTATGTTTAATTAACGTAGCACCTTGTTCCTTTTGACTTGTTATCTTACCGGCATATGTATTACATCGTGTACGCTATGTTCACTATGTGCATATTCACACATGCGCACTGACTGATACCCTGGCAACGGGTTTATTGATGTGCGCATGCGCGGTCTTTTGACATGCGCAGTTCTAGTTGATATCTAGCCTGACACTAAGTCGGCGCGCCTGCGCGTGGATAGATATGCGCACGGATTAGTGATACAAGTGGCTATTCTTCGTCCCTCCTCCCCTGAGATACATGGACGAATCAGATGAATTGGGAGGTACTTTTAACGTTTATAATGGAGTAAGGGGGATTGTTCTGTTTGCTTCATTTCACTTTGTGCCCTTGAGAAAGGTGGTTTATCCACCGAAACGCGCGTTGGGCTATGGGCTATTTTATGTAGCTGATTGAGTTTATTTTGTTTTTCTTTGTTCCCTACAGTATGGTTTAGTGACACTGAGCGTTTTCGTAGCTCTGGTCATCCTACTCAGTGATAGGTGGGCTGTTTATTGGGTTTAGGCATTTAGACCGAGTTTTTTTGTATTTAGATCAACTATCAGGTCTTTCTGCTTTATTTTTCTTCTTCTATTTATGCCCTTCTCTATCCTTTCGATTTCCATTTAAATTTAACCCTGTAGGTACAGCAGCAGAGTTTTTGGCTACTAGTGTGGCTTTATACTGTAATTCATTGTTTCATTATACTACGATTTCTTCCACATTCCGATATGGTTTATGTAGCCACACTTTGCAGCAATTAGTTTTTTAGTGCAGAATTTATGGCTCTTTATATATGTACTACTACATTTACCTTCTATTCCTTTGCATAGGTACTTTTTATAGTACTGCATCTATAGTTTAGCCATATTTTATATTCTGTATTGGGCTTGCAATATACAATTTACGGTTTTTATGTATCTATATATGCACTATACTCTATTTATAGGTATCTGCCATACCACAGTATATATACATATTTATACATCAGTCATTCTTTCCGTATATATTGGGCTCCAGTTATTTATTTTATCTAGAAATAGATGTGTTTTCCTTTTTGATTTTAATAAGGTTTCTCAATAAATTTGTTTATTATTTTTGAAACGTCGTTTTGAGGTGGCTTGGAGGTGATCAGCCCGATCTTCCTACGAGGCGATCAATCCTCCACTTTTGCTATTTTCTTTTTTGTATCCACTATAGGGTTATGCCCTTTTGCCACCTCATTCACCCATGTTTTGGTACTCCGAGTTGGGTTGTCTAACTAGGTAGTACTATTTATTTATTAGAATTAATATATGTATATATAATTTTTTTTTAAAAATATTTTTATTTATATATAGGTATATAGTGATATATACGTATATATTTATGTATATAGATATATATATTATTTCGTTATACGTGTATTTTGATTTAAATATATATTAATATCACAATACAGTTAGAACGAAATAACACACATCTCCCCAACCGCGATCGCTGGCGTGGGATTGCCGGCGACCGGGTAAGTAACAAAAAAACGGAGGGCGTACTAATATGCCCTGCAGCGTTTAGAGCCGCTTAGAATAGGGCGTAATAGTATGCCCTCCGGTTTTAAGGGGTTAAATAAACACACACAAAAACAAACACATACCTGTAGATTTTGAGAAAATTGTCCCAAAGCAAAAAGTGCAGCATTTCTCACAACTTGACTTTCATTTGACAAGGCTTCACACACCACTTTCAGCATAGACTTTAGATGCCTAAATGAGAGAGATACATTAATTCATACTGGAGGAAAGGTACAAGAAAATAGTTAAGAGGCTGTGTGGTTAAGAAAACATTATCAAGACAAATTAACAAAAGAATATCTGTTCACTAGGCCACTGACAAATTTGTGACACGTACTTGCTGCGAATGTGTTCAGCGCAACCTTCACTCAGCACACCCAGACACATAAGACCAGCCTTCCTCTGGTATGGGTTTGAACTAAGGAGACAGGGTTCCATAAGGGGTGTCTGGGGAAAAGAAGAGATAGGAAACAGTAACGCAAAAACTGGTAAATGAGGGACAAACAAAGCCAGCAAATAACACACTAGTGAAGAATGGCTCTGGAGTTGGAAGGAACATGACACAGCTGAAGACAAAAGCGTAAATGTCTACGGAACACACAGTCAGGTCTGAGGATGGACTGAGCAACACGAAGTCAAGATAAAAGGTCACCTTATCTCATTTGAAGTGGGGTCTGGGTGCCATGTCATTGTACCTGGAGGTCCCTCTACTGGCTGTCTGGTAGACCCACAAAGGTAATTAATGTAGTTTAACGTAGTTTCTTGTAAACTGCAATAATTACCTTTGCAGGGTTAAGGGAACTGGGACTATGCACCCATATAATGTCAATGAGTTAAAGGTCTTAATGCCTATAGTGTCCCTTTAAAAAACAAAAAACAACGAAAAACTGATCTTATTAGGATGCATCAATAGTAATAAAGCACTACAAAACTATTTACGCCAAAATGTGAACATGGAGCAAAATTTTACTGCCACCAACAAAATAAATTTTCTGTTTTCCTTCGCATATAGTGGCAGTACATAAATGGGATGTAACAAACTGTAAAATACAGCTTGCAACGCCTTTCACCGAAATGAAGCTTACTTGATGACAAGATGTCTTGTGAATGTATGCGTTAATGACCACATGGCCTTAATGCATATTTTATCCAGAAGTGCACAAGCTCCTTCTGTCCAAGCAGTAGCCAATTCCTGAGTAAACTGGCCTTTAAAGGACCACTCTAGGCACCCAGACCACTTCAGCTTAATTAAGTGGTCTGGGTGCCAGGTCCAGCTAGGGTTAACCCATTGTTTTATAAACATAGCTGTTTCAGAGAAACAGCTATGTTTATCAATGGGTTAAGCCTTCCCCCAAAGCCTCTAGCAGCTGTCTCATTGACAGCCGCTAGAGGCGCTTGCGTGCTTCTCACTGTGAAAATCACAGTGAGAGCACGCCAGCGTCCATAGGAAAACATTGATAATGCTTTCCTATGCGACCGGCTGAATGTGCGCGCAGCTCTTGCCGCGCATGCGCATTCAGCCGACGGGGCGGATCGGAGGCGGAGAGCTCCCCGCCCAGCGCTGGAAAAAAGGTAAGTTTTACCCCTTTTCCCCTTTCCAGAGCCGGGCGGGAGGGGGTCCCTGAAGGTGGGGGCACCCTCAGGGCACTACCTTTAAGCTTGATAGGTGGGATTTCACCTACTGACTTGTAGGAGAATTGAATTGCTTTGCATCTTGCCAAAGCCACTTTTAAGGCTTGTTCTTGCCTCTGAAATTGAGAAGCAGATGTGATTTTCTGAAGCTTTATGTATTCGCTAAATATACTTCCAGATCGCTCTCAAAATCATACCTTTGTGGGATGGGAGTGACTAACAATAGTTTCCCTGAAAAACATTTGATCTGAAATCAAGCAAAATACAAAAAGGCCTGTCCAATTCTTTTACCAAGAACTGCCGGGAGTTCACACCTGAAATTCTTCTAGGATTAGAACTCTCAATTATGGCCTTTGATATAAGTTTTAGTATTTCTTAAAATAATGCTTGGCATTGTCTTTTGGATTTGCTTTCTGTGCAAAATAAGCAAGGTTTTGAATTTTCTGAGAACTTCTTAAGTTTCTCCTGTTAGGAAAGATGGTTCCTGTCTCTAGGTCTAGAGTCCTGTGATTTTCTACTAAATGGCTGACACCTTCCATCTCTGCTGTCATAAAAACAGGAAAAACAAAACAAACAATGATCTTGCTCCCCCTAGAGTATTTTCTTTCTTGCTGAAAGGCCTTAGTTTTAGAGCTTTATTAGCTCATCCAGAGCCAAACCAAATTGCATATCTCTTTCTAACGAAAAAAAATAAAAAAAATTAAAAATCACACAGTGAATTTAAGGTGGTGTCCACTATCAAAAACAAACCAAATGGCATACCTAATCACCAAAAAAGATCCACATGCTTAGCTTCTGGCTTGGATATGCTTGGAAATAAATGGTCACTTTTCACCAAAAGGGTGTAAAGGACAACTCATCTTTTTACGTTAATAGTTCCCCTACTTTTACCACCCCAATAGCAAGGCAAATACCTTTTTGTGTATTACAGCTATACCCCAGGGGAAAAAAAATCTGATAATTTACTGTGAGACAAACATGTGACTCAAAGAGAGTGAATGGAATTAATGAGCAACAGAAGACAGTCTGTCAATCGCAACTGAGAAATATTATATATATTAACCAGAAGAAAGTTGTTTAGTAAAAAGGGACATTTAGTATTTGATGATTTACCAGTTGAGGGAAGAGCTTCTCAGGAGGTAGATGAAGGGCTAGCATGTCAATGACCTGTAATGCAAAGGATATCGTGAACACACATTTCCCTCAACACTGAGCTTTCTTAATTGCAGTCATATAAATACCAACCTGAACTGCAAAGTGTTTAGGGGTCTGCACTTCAGTCTCCTCCTCCAGTATCTCACTCTCATCTTCCTGGTCCTCAGGATCCATCTGGCCAGGAGGAGGCTCCACACACATGATGGGAAAAAGAGCACTAAGAATTGGAGTCAGCAGCTTCTGCTTTAGGATGGACTGAGGAACACACAGTCAGGATAAAATAAGGAAGAAAGGAGATTTAGTCTATGGCAAAAGAAAGGGTTTTTCTACAAAAAGAACAATAAGTATGTGACATTTCTGACTGAAGAGGTGGTTTTATGTAACCATAGAATTCTATGCACACAGGCAGCTAACATATAAATCCATTCCTGCACCAGCAGTCTCATTCACTTGCATGGATTGTTTATGGTCTAGCTTTATACAGTTACATCTCTTTCTTAAATATTGCTATATTTGATTTTTTTTTTACACTGCTCCACTGAATTGCTGGCATTGGCTTTTGTTAATACTTATGCCAGAGGACAAAGAATAGATAAAATGATTCATTCAAACTAAGAGAAAATTTACCTTACTCTTCAATTTGATAAGGAAGCTGAGACAGGATAGAGCCTTCACACGGAGATTATCAGAAAGGGATGTGTTTACCGCCAACTGTATAGGAACAGGTGCAATGATTTTATTATCAAACCATCAAATTACCTTGGAATTTATGAAGCCTTATCTACAACTTTTACATAGCTATGCAAAAACCAGTCCAGTTTCTAACGCACCAAAGTGCAAGAGAATCTTATCAACAATGTCATATAGTGAAAAACACTACATGTATAAGTAAAAGGGACACTCTAGGCATCAAAGTAACTTTAGCTTAAAATGCTGCCTACACAGAGAAATGTTTGAATTTGTGCAGTTAACCCTGCGACACATGAACTAGCATGCCAAAACACTGTTCTGCACTGGCTGTCAGGTCTCTACATAAAAATATTCGTCAGCAAGCACACACTGCGTGCGATGGATGTAAAGAGCTTCTTCACTTACAGGTAGCGCATGTGGTACTATGTGCACTGCACTTGCGCACACATAGACCAAATAACTGTCTCACTGTAATTATGTCCCTTCCCTCTGTTTTGCACATTAGCCCTCCTCACATCATATTTTGTATTTTTTCCATTCCCTTTTCTACATCCTGCACAACCTTCTGTGCAGCCTCGCCTCCCTCCCTCCTTGGCTTTAGCAATGAAAAGTGATTTCACTCCGCTAATTTCGCCACTCATGAACGTACACATTGTGCACATGCACAGAGTAGGATTCACTGCAGATGAGTAACTGGTATCAGCACTCACCATGCACATGCCCAGGGTTCGACAATACTTATTTATAAGAAGCATTTAACTGAACCTTGAACAGGGTACGGGTGATGCAGTGGCATGTCGGAGACTGTGGGGAGTGGTTCTTGGAGAACTTGGATTCACTTAAACTTTTTACATTATTTTATAGGATTTTAGACAAATAAATCGGGGGAGAAATATATAAAGAGACATATAAAACGCTTAATGAAGCAGTTGTTGTAGAGATCATACGCTGCACTCTCTCTGCTCAATTACATGCCATTTAAGAGTTAAATCACTTTGTTTATGCAACAATAGCCACACCTCCACTTACCGTGACAACCCCCGTAGATCATTTAAATCCAGGACTTTTTGACAGATAAATCTGTATCTGATTAATGCATGATTTTTTCCCCACACTTAATACGAAAATTAATTTTAGCAATATAAATTTGTACCTCCAAACAGAAAGGAATAATCTCAGCAAGGTGATGCACAACAACCGACACTTCTCCTTCCATTAGCTCATCAAAAACTTCCATTGCCTCACAAGCCTGAACCTGAAGAACAAATTCAAAGGATGATATGTATTTTTTGAGATCCTGAATAGGTCAAAGTTGATCCATATGTTTATGTAATATTTAAAACAATTAAAGCTACATCCTGTACAATGAGAATCTGCGAGTCTCAGAGGTGATCATACAGTCCTGAACAACCATTGTATACACCAAAGCAGTATAGCTTTCTCAATCTTTTGTACTTTAAATAAAATTTGTGAATAAAGACTATATTTACAAAAAAAAAGTTAAATTTTTTGAGACCTTTGAGTGCACCCTATTTTTGCAATGTATGTATGCAATGATGTTAGCACCTAGGCAACTGAATATTTTCTGCATCTAAGGAATAGTGCAAGGTATTTAAAAATAAAAATTATATATATATATATACACACAGAACAGAAAAAATATCAGCACTCCCATGATTTTTAAATAAAGGATATCCTGATGAAAGTTTCTGGTAGGAACTGAAACGTCGATATTTTGGAGTAAAAAGAAGCTTTATTTAAAAATCCTGGGAGTGCATAATTTTTTTATGTTCTGCATGTCTAGTGCAATCTAGCACCGGGTTCTACATTTTTGTAAGTAGGAGTGCAAGGCTTTTGTTTTTATATATATATATAAATAATATACTCGAGTGTAAGCCGACCCGAATATAAGCCGAGGCCCCTAATTTTACAACAACAAAAAAACTGGGAAAATGTATTGACTCGAGTATAAGCCTAGGGTGGGAAATGCAGCAGCTAATGGTAAATTTCTAAATAAGATTAGATCCCAATAAAATTACATTAATTGAATATTTATTTACAGTGTGTGTATATAATGAATGCAAAGTGTGTGTGTGTTTGTGTGTAGTGTGTGTATATAATGAATGCAGAATGTGTGTGTATATAATGCAGAGTGTGTGTGTATATGATGCAGAGTGTGTAAACTGGGTGGGGGGAGGGCATTTTTATTATTTTAATATTTTTATTGTAATATTTAATTGTTTAACTTTTTTTTTTTTGTCCCCCCTCACTGCTTGTTACCTGGCCAGGGAGGGGGGCTATGGCATTCCCTGGTGGTCCAGTGGCATGTACTGAGCAGTAGGGGGACCGGCAGCAAGCTGTTACCTTCCCAGCAGCTCCCTGGGTAAATCTCACAGTCTGTGTGCCGCGCGGAGCATTGCCATGGTAACCCGTGGCGACGCTCTGACGGCTGCGGGACTCGCGAGATTTACACAGCGAGATGAAGGGAGCTGCTGGCAAGGTAAGTAACAGCTTGCTGCCGCCCCCCCCAGGACCGCCAGGCCTGTAATGAGCCCGGCGGTCCTGGTCTGTTTTATGGCAATGTAAGTTGCCATAATACAGACCCTGACTTGAGTATAAGCCGAGGGGGGCTTTTTCAGCATAAAAAAAATGTGCTGAAAAACTCGGCTTATACTCGAGTATATACGGTATTTGTTTTTTTACCTCTCTCGACCCTTACTTTGTGATCCTTACACAGAATAACTACGACCCTCTGTGAAAATGGTATCTATTTGCTATGAGACCTGTGCCTTATCTGCGCTTTAAGCCTATATCACAACTTAACTTTGAATTGTATATGCCGTTTTGCTCAGAAATGCTTTAAGGGGGAGAGTGAGAGAAAATGAATCAGGGAGAGAGGAAGAAGATAGATTTAGGAGGAAAGAGAAAGATAGATTACATAGACATTATTATATACACGTACAGTCATGGAAAAAAAACAGTACACCCTCTTTGAATTCTATAGTTTTACATATCCGGACAGAATAGCAATCATCAGTTACTTAGCAAGTCTTAACCCCTTAAGGACAGAGGGTATTGTACAAGTTTTGATCAAAACAAAACCAGGCATTTGAACTATATGACTGTTCAACCATAACCTTCCGCTTTCATATTAAGTCCACCGACACTTATGATATGTCCTTTTCTTCAGGAGAAACAGGGCTTTCATTTCACATCAAATATTTATATATTAAACAATTTAATATGAATAAAATAAAATAAAAAAGTGAGAAATCAAGAGATTGTGCTATTTTCTTAGTTCTACATGGCATTTTAACAGTGAATGTCATAATACTGTTAGTTTTTACTGGGTATTCAAAATGAGGAATGCCCAGTCTTCCTTTTAAGTAGCCACTTAGTCACAAACTATGGCCAAAGATAGTGTTCATATTTGTTTTTTGCATTCTTAACAAAAATAAAATGGCCTTTTCACCGTTGGTATAATTAAAATTATTACTATTAATTGCTCTAAAACACTCATATTTAAATTCAACTAAGTCTCACGAGTACAACAGAACCCCCCGTATAGTTTGTATGGGACGCCAATTTCAGTATTTACTTATTGAAATTTGCCAGATCGATTATGTTGACTTTGAGACAATTTTTTTAGCCCAAGAATGAAAATTACGCCATCATGGGATACCACTTGCAAAAGTAGACAACCCGGGGTATTCAAGATGGGGTACTTCAAGTCAGTTTTTGCAGCTACTTGGTCAAAAATGCTGCTCAAAGTTAGTATTCATATTTGTTCTTTGCACTGTTCACATAAAAATATATAAATATAAAAATTATATTGTCAATATAAATTTTATTCTAAAACTAGGGATCAACCAATTATCGGTCTGGCCGATATTCAGCCTATAGAGATACCGATATTGCCGATAATACATACCAGGAACGCCGGGCCCATTACAAGCCTGGCGGTCCTGGGGGGGCCCGCAACAAGCACTTACTTACCTTACCAGCAGCACCCTTCATCTCCCCGGTCTAAATCTCGCGAGTCCTGTGGCAGTCAGAGAGTTTCCACGGGAGAGTTAGACCGGGGAGCTGAAGAGAGCTGCTGGGAAGGTAAGCAAGTGCTTGCTGGTCCCCCACGGCATGGCCGCTGGACCACCAGGAAATGCCATATCCCCCCTCCCTGGCCAAGTAAGAAGCAGGGAGGGGGACTAAAAAATAAATAAAAATGTTAATATTTTAAAAAAATGTAAAATAAAAAATGCCCCCTCTCCCCCAACTTACATACCTACACAAACACACACTGCATTCATTATATACACACACCACATTCACTAAAACACACACACACATTCTGCATTCATTATATACACACACACACACAACCACACTGCATTTAGTATACACACACTACACACACTGCGCGTTCATTATATACACACACTACACAAACACACTGCATTCACTATACACACACTACACAAACACACACACACTCTGCATTCATTATATACACACACTGCATTCACTATAAACACACTACAGAAAAACACACACACTCTGCATTCACTATAAACACACTACAGAAAAACACACACTCTGCATTCACTATACACACACTACATTCGGTATATACACACACTGCATTCACTTTACGCACACTACACACACTGCAGTCACTATATACACACTACACACACACACACTCTGCATTCACTATATACACACACTCACTGCATTCCCTATACAAACTACACAAACACACTCTGCATTCATTATATACCACACACTACACAAACACACAGACCCCCTGTCTAAACACACTGCATCCACTACATGTGACATGTGTATTTTGTGCATTTACCTTTAGAAATAGTGTATTTTTTCAAAATGGTAAATGGACAGAATATCGGTAAATTATCGGCTATTGGCCTTAAAATTCACAGATTATCGGTATCTGTATAGGCTCTAAAAATCAATATCGGTCAATCCCTATCTAAAACACTCATTTGTGTTCAGCGATGTCTCACGAGTACAACAGTAACTCCCATGTACAGGTTTTATGGGATTTTGAAAAGTCCAAATATAGGGCTTGCCCATTTCAGTTTGCCAGATTGGTTTGCTGCAGCTACGCTGACTTTGAATCCATATGGTAGCCTGGGAATGAGAATTACCCCCATCATGGCATACCATTTGTTAAAGCAGACAACCCACAGTATTCAAAATAGGGTATGACCAGTTTTTTAGTTGCCACTTGGTCACAAATCCTGGCCAAAGTTAGTGGTGATAAAGCCTGGCTTCTGGAGGATGGCATAGAATGCCTGGCATTCTTAAGGGTTTAAAAAAATAATTTTAGAAAATATGTACCTCAGAGGCTTTTCAATGTTCAGGGCGACATTGTCACACTATATGCTCCAGAGAAACACATACAGGCAATCAGTCATGCCTTTAATAGTGCTGTGCATATGCATGCACCAGTGTGTACATCAATACGATGGTACATGTAATTCACATGCTGTTCTTGTATAACCAGCAATGTCTTGGAAGTTGAAAATGAAAACTGAGAATTTTATCAAGATAAAAGCACAACTCATAAGTTCAGTTAATATTGGGATGTGCAAAATTCTAAGCAGTGATAGTGCTGCATTAAGCCAGTGTTACTTTGAAGGAAAGAAAACAGTGAACATATTAGGATTACCTCATTGCTTTGTATCAGGTGTCTGATGGCGGTTAGAATCTTTGCAATAAGAGACCTTAGTAGATTCTTTGAAAAAGAAAAATATATATATATATATATTAGACAAAATATTATATACATCTGAAGATAGATATATGCAATGTACACGGAAGAAAAAAAAAAAAAAGACAAAAGGCAGGGCAATCTGGCACTCACAATTTCATTGCTTGCCATTTCTGGTACAACACTGGTGAGAGACTGCAGAGTATAGAAGAGAACTGGAGGATTCTGGAGATCATTCAGAGTATGGTGAAACATTTTGATCAAGTCAGGGAAGTGAGTTTTGAACAGTTCAGCGCTGAGATCCAGAGCACACTTGAGAACGAGGAGACCAACCTGCCAGAGATCCATATTGGAGAAATTAAAAGAAAACGGTGGTGAAAATCAATCAATTTCAAGAAAGACAGAGAGTTAGTTCCATGTCAATATTATTCAAAATGTCGAGATATCAAAAGCAATAACAAAAGCTTAGAAACAAAGAAAATGAAAAATATAAAGTATATTTTTTTAAAGGTCAGTATGTGATAAACAAAAGATGAAATTTGGTAACAAAACTAGTCACGTGGCACCAGAGCCACTGCAGTTTAATGTAGTGGTTGTGGTGAAACAAGGCTGTCCTTGCAGACTGAGCAATGCAAACGCTGCCTCCTTTACATTGCTTCCAAAGGTTCACTCTGATAGAGGCACTACTCGAATCGGTCCTATGATCTCTGCATTGCTTTCCTATGCATTAGAATGGCTGATATCATCTGTAATGATGATCTCAGTCAGAGGACAAGCGCCTTCTGTGACATGACCAGCTTTCCTGGGGACTAAATATAATACACCTACTTAACTTTACATTTGAAGGGTTCCAAATTTAATTACAGGGTTATTTACTCAAGTGAGAATTGAAAGTGAATTGGAAATTAATTTAAAATTTAAGGTCAAAATGGTAAAACTGGAAAATATATGCTTTCAGTTTAGTCACCTTGGCCTTAAATTTGAAATTCACTTTGAATTCATTGTCAATTCTTTTCTAAATTCTATAAACTCTTTAGTGAATAACCCTTTCTGTAAACGTTGTGAATGCATTTGAAAACATAACGTTAAAGTGTTCATTTAAAGCACAGACAACATAGGTAAGAGCTAAAATGATCTGGAAAACAGATCACCTAGAGGGAAAGTGACGGTTGAGAAAGGCTGTGGAAACACTGTATAAAACAAACAAGCCTTGGGAGAAACAGCATAAAGTCAGGCACACAAAATTCACATTAAAAAAATAAATAAAAAGAAACCTGTGAAAATATAAAGCAATATGTAGGGAGAATAAGTATATAAAGATTCATTACAGACCTGACGGTGTTCCGGAACTGCACTACGAGACGTCTGAAGTACAAATTGGATGAATTGTGGCCAATGTTCCAACTTTTCGTTTCTCAAGATCACAGCCGTTAGTTGAGCAAGAGCATAACGCACCTTGTGCCTAAGACCAGCAAACAGTCACACCATCAGTAAAACATATAAAGTAAGACCAATATGAAAACAGAGATGGAAAACTACCAGGGAAAAAAAATTAAAAATTCGGATTTGAAATCTATTCAGACAAAAACAGATTTTTCTTAAAAATACAAAATGGGTGCCATATATGAAAAGAATGGCATACTATGCAATAGAAAAAAACAAACAAACAAAAAAACATGTTAGTATATTAGTCTACAGATGCTTTTGTGTTGCAATTTTTCATGGGATACTGAAACACGCTGATGAAACTGGCAATACCCACCTTTTAAAGTTTTGCAGCTTTCCTTATAACTCTACCCCTTTAGCCATTCCTCCACTTTTCATAAAACATCTTGTTGACTGGAAAGTAAATAGTAAACAGTGGAACTCAGTGAGAGTTCAGTGTGAACTGAGCTGCTGACATGATAACACCCCACAACCAATCACTGTTCTTATCTGTCTAGTACAGTATATCAAACTGTAGTGAGGGGAAAGGAGATAAATAACATGAGGACAATAACTGGCTGTTGGGCAGTGTCAAGTCAGCAATTCAGCTCATACTAAAATCTCACTGTTTGAGCTGAATGGGCATGGCTAAGGGGGCAGAGTTAAACTACACACAGCTGTATTTTACATATATACCATGTAGAAAAATAAATCAGCATTGGTAGATCAAAACTGTGTTGATGTCCACAGCGTGCACAGAAGAATTCTTAAAGGGACACTACAGTTACCAGAACAACTACGGCGTACTGTATTTATTCTGGGGAGTATAATAATTCCCTTCAGGCTTTTTGCAATGAATACTTTTTTTTTTTCAGAGAAAAGGCATTGTCCCCTGGGGATACCTCATTATCATTCACTGTCTCCACCCTCTGCATGGAAACAATAAATATTTCTCATATAGAATGTATTGATTCAATGCAAAATAATAAATAATAATAATCTCTATAAGGAGTTGCTGATTGGCCAGGGCTATGTTTGACTTGTGCTGGCTTTATCCCTGATCTGCCTCCTTGACAGTCTTAGCCAATCCCGTGCTTTCATATATGAAAGCATTGTGATTGGCTCAGAGAATTACTTATGATGATGGCAGATCGGGGCAAAGCAATCAGCAGCAGACTGCAATAAAAGTAAGATCTTGCAATAAATATGGGCCAAGGGACGTCAGGGAGGCTAGTTGGTGAGTTTAACACTATAGGGTCAGGAATACATGTGTGTGTGTTGCTGACCCTATAGTGTTTCTTTTCAAGCCTTCTCAGAATATTCATTGTTGTACATACATTGCATCTGCTGTGAAATTAAAATAAAAGAAACAAGAACTTGTATTCAGAAAACCACTGAAAAAATACCAGTGAAAAGAAACCAGATAACCAAGGACATAATACATATAACAAAGTTCTCTCCATAAGATTACAACAAATTAATATATGCACTTATTTGCACTTACTCTGGCTCTCTCTGAATAGCTTCTAACAGAAGAGATTTCAGGCTAGAGTGAAACAGGAAGTAAAACATAAAACGTGTTATCAGAAAATGGGTAACAAGCGACATAGGGGTTGAGAGTAGAGGAGTGAAATGAAAATATTTTACATACAACAATCAATAGACAATACAAAAATGCAGTTAGAATTCATAGTTAAACATTATCTTTGAACTATGACAACTAAAAACACACAGTTATGAGAGAGTTACTCAACTCAATGTGAGCAATTAAAGGGTTACTACAATAAACAATCGTTATTACCACTGGGTCTTGTCTTATTGATTCCTTATATTTGTGTCCCCTACCCCATTTCGTCTGATTAAAAATGTTTAACAGCCAAAAACTTAACTTCAGTCCTCAGCCGAGACCCAAATTCTCCCTACAGTCCAGTCAGCGCACAGTTTCGTCAACTTTTATTTATTAGCTTGTCCAATCAAGTGCTTTCTCAAAAGAATGCCTTATTGGACCTAGGGCGCCGGTGGGGTAATAACCATGATACGCCCATCAAATCGTTCTGATAGGGATGTATTGAATCAAATACATCAGAATCACTAAACACTGCACTCTTAATGCACACAGCGTAGGGAGAGAGAACATTTTGCTGATAATGTCCTCCAACCTCCCAATCAAAAGGCACCCCCAGCACTATGCATTGCTGCAGCCAAGCAGGAAAGAAACATAATGCACAAAGGACTTCGACCTTTACATTGTTGGCATTTTCACAGAACATTTATGCACAGAATTGACATAAGTCAGCCCAGAAAAGAGTTCTAAACTGACTGGATGGCAACTGTCAGAGGTGCAGTTACACACCAGCAGCAAAGCCCAAATTTCTCTGTATTGGAGGTGTTTTATGCTGCACATATAGATTATTTGCACAATGACAACTTAGTGATCATGGTTTAAAAGATTAAAACTTTAACTGGAAGAATATTTTATTTTTTTGGACAATCTTTATTTAGGATTTTTCAAACAATAGATTAAGGGTTTCTGCTTAGTTAACCGTAAAATGTTGTATAGAATAAGTATCCAGAATTTGAGTTTTGCAAACAACAGATCAATGACTTCTGCTTGGGGATCATTACAGTATAGCATATAGCAAAATCCAGAGTGGTTACTGATTGTAGTATGAGCAAAATTACAATATCAAGAACATAGCGTTACAACATAGGGTATATAGTAAAGTTGTGTACATTATGGTCCGTAACTGATTAATGTTTAGCAGCAGTGGCTTATACCGATCTAGTGACAATAAGTACTCTATTACTCTCACAGAGGTTCATTAGGGTAACAATACTGTACTTTGAGGCTGTAACGTATATAGACGCAGTGGAGTCACCTTGGGTCGTCTACAGGTTCTGGCGACAGTCTTCAACCACCGCTATCCGTTAATCTCCATGGGTGTCAGTCAGGGGCATGTAAGTAGAGGTGAGATCAGCTGTCCGGGATGGGGTGAGGGGGGGAACAAAAGAAAGAGGTGGGAGGGACAGGCAGTGAGCTGAGATATGGGAATAAGAGAGAGAAAGAGAGAGAGAAAGAGAGAGAAGAGAAAAAAGGGTGTGTGAAGAGGAGGGATATGGGGGGGGTGGAAGAGGGGATTTAGGTGCTTCCGCCATTGGTGGCAGTATACAACAGCCATGGGGTCTAGGTCTTATTGAAGGTGTCTGAACGACCATTGAAAATATCTCTCCCACCCTGTCCACCCGTTCCGTCCGCTTCAAGAGCATAGGTACAAGGGATTTTACCGCCGTCAGTAGGTGTATGGTCAGAGATTTCTTATAAGTCTTAATGGTCATATCTGTGTCATACAGGAGCATGGGGAGAGGTTGGAGTGGTAGGTCGGAGTCCGTGAGTTCTCGGATTTTAGTGTTTACCATCATCCAGAAGGGGGTTATAACTGGACAAGTCCACCATATGTGGATCATAGTGCCGCCCTGCACTCCGCATCTCCAGCAGTTATTTGGGCTGCCTGTGTTTATGTGGTGCAGTGTATCAGGGGTTCTGTTCCAGTTGGATAGGAGCCTGTAGCTCGTTTCTTGGAGTTTCGAGCTGATTGAGCATTTGTGTGTGAGTATGTAAATTTTGTCATAGTCCTGGGCTCTTAGAGCCTCTCCTGTCTCACTTTCCCACTTTCCAGTAAGCCTTAAGGGTGGTCTGTTGTACCCCCTTAGGAGCATGTTATAGAGCAAGGAGATGTTGCGTGCTGGAGGGATGAGCGGAGTGACTCAAATTGTGTGATGTCCCTATGCAAGAGACGTTTGCATGGGATAGTCGTGTAGTAATTTTTAATTTGATGATAGTGGTATCTTCAGAAAAAATTAGGCAAATTAGCTAAGGGGTGAATTGTCGGAATAGGGGAGTTTCTCTTTAGAACTCTCTACTAACCATCAAAAGTGATCTCCAAGTAGTGCCCCCTTCCCCATGCAGGGTTGCAAGTGAGCAATTAGAAGTAATTGGTGTCCTACATAACTTCTAATAACCAGAAGAAAGTATTTAATGTGAGGTGTGTAAGGGATCAAATGTAATTTACCTAAGTTCCACAGACCACCTGAATGCTATCAGGATAGACCTTTAGACTCCTGTACCACACATAAGGGGTAAATGTAATCAGTGAGGTTTCATCAGCTTTTTGAACCAGAGGGAACGGCTCATACACCTCATAAGGGGCAAGGTGGCATTCAGGGAGACCCTGCAAAGGTCTTTTCAGACTGCAGCCAGCCCAAAAATTACAGTGGCTGAGCGAGATCGCTTTGCCATGGTGATTTAAAGGGCTGTATGCAGCGCTCAATTTTACCACTGTATAGAGCCAATCTGTGGCCACTAAATATGGAGAAAGCTAACAAAGGGTTAGCCGCAGGTATTGGCTCATGCCTGGTTCTCCCTGGTGTGTGCAGAGTTTTAGACTCAAAATATTAGGATGTTCAATGTCATGTGGAGGACCACATGGAAAGTCTTCAAGGGTTTCTCCAGCCCTATTTTGTTTAAAATAGAGTAATGCCCTTAAAGAGGTTCTCCAATCCTTTTATGTGTAAAACAGAATAATGCCCTGTTGACATAATTATTTTGCCTAGCCTCCCACCCACCCCCTCCCCACACACACACAAATAAATGCTCAAACATTTTTAAATGACGTTTAACTTACCTTAATCCAGAACCAGGCTTCCTGGTGTACCCCCCCGTCTAACATCACAGTTTAACAGGCTCAGAGCATACGCATGTGCACTGAGCCTGCAAAGAGGGGGAGAGGGATTTAAAAAAAAAAGAAAAAGAAAGAGTGGGGATATGGGGGGAGGGGAAGGGGGCTTTAATCTGTGTGGGAGGGAAGACAACTGCTTCTCTTGGCCCATCTCACCCAACTATAGTGCCATAGCCCTACTCCCTTTCGCCTCAAAGCTTCCAGAAAGACTTGTCTTAACAAATTTGGCTTGCTTTCTCAATTCCAACTCTCTCCTCTCCAATTTGGCTTCCGTCCCCTCCATTCTATTGAGACGGCTCTTCCCAATGATGCGAGCACAGCCACGGTTTCCCCCGCCTGCTGACAGTGGTAGAGGAGAAGAGACTGACTCCAAGCTAGCCCCAAGAGTCTTCAGTTCTTGAATCATGTGTTTTCCCAGCACTATAGTTTCCCTTTTAGCATGATAACATTAAAATCAATATTGGATAAAAGAAGTTCTCCTAATTGTATTGACAGTCTCAAGTTTAAATTTTGCCACAATTATAAGCTGATAATCATGATTTGGTCTCACATATGAAAACAAAGTTTAGCAGGGAAATAAGGATTAGCTTTCGTTACTTTTTTTGTTAGAGGAATCATTGTCATTAGACAATGGTGTAAAAGTGTATAATTTTAACTTGACTCATTCGTAGTACCGAATTGAGTTTTAAACATCTGCCTGCTGAGAGAAAACACATGCTTATGTCTGCTTGTTGTAATGCGATTCTGATGTAACATCTATTTGTTTAACTGTCTGATGTACAGTATTTAACTTGCATACTGACTTAACCATTAATTGTTTTATCTAAAAGAAGATAGCCTGTTGGGTTTTGTACATCATGTTATTAGACATGTTGCCTGATCACTGATCGTTTTATTAGTTTCTGCACTGAGTTTTATAGTTAATATATATTATTATTATTGCCATTTATATAGCGCCAACAGATTCCATAGCTCTTTACAATATTATAAGAGGGGGGATTTAACTATAAATAGGACAATTATAAGAAAACTTACAGGAATGATAGGTTGAAGAGGACCCTGCTCAAACTGGCTTACAGTCTATATATTTGTGTACATGTTTGTTATTGTGTCTCTTAACTGAGCCACATAGTAGGTGCGTTCTAAGGTAACACTTCCCCTCTTCCTTTGTATCACGATGTACTTGCAATACACAAAATAGAAGAGAGAATCTAGTGCAGTGTGTCAATATAATACAAGGTGCAAATATGTGAAGTTGCAAACTGCTCACCTTATTCAGAGCCTAATATACTTGGCTCAGAGTTTGTAGACTTCTGTGTCTCTAAAGTCTTTGTAGGATAAAATCAAGGAATTTATTGCAACTTTGTAAAAACAAATATAATATAAATCTTACAATGAAAACTCCCGAGACGCAGTTCACCGCTAAGAACGTCTTTCTCAATCGGTATAACTACCAAAGTATACTGTCCTGCTTTTTAAATGTACAAGAGTGCTCTCATTGGTCTGTTCTGTAGGTTGTATGCCAATCGCCACTGTAGCGGATGATATAATCTTTACGTTGATGTAAGTGCTAATCGGAATCATCTGAGACGGAAGTTACGTTATCAATCTGCCATATTTAGAGAGGGAAAATCTCTGGGAAAAAGTGGTACTTATTTTGTATCTTAGCGTAGGATAATTATTCCACTAGTTTGTACCAAGTGTAGTGGTAATAAGCATTGTTTCTGCCTGACACACAAAGTGAGTTTGCACAGTATATTTTGCAAATCTTATGTGTGCTACGGCTGTATAATACTTCATAAGTTGCTCAGCTATGTCATCTGAGTACAGCAATTCCCCCGTATGTACCTTTTGCCAGGTATATGTGGACATTGAAGGGGCAAATTTGAGAAACAGCCATTCCAGTTTTTTTTCAAACTTTGAATTTTTACGCTATGTCCATGTCCCATTTTGGAGTATTTTAGCAGGCTATATATTCCAACTACACCATAAAGGCATACCATTTCTTAAAGAAGACATCCCAGTGTATTTTAAAAAGCATATTTTGAACCATGGCATGGGATCAGTTTTCCGCTAGCTTATTACCATGTCTAGTGGTAATAAGCATTTTTTCTGCCTTTTTGACACACAAAGTGAGTTTGCACAGTATATTTTGCAAATCTTGTGTGTGCTACGGCTGTATAATATTTCATATGTTTTTCAGCTATGTCATCTGTGTACAACAAAAACCCCATATGTACCATTGCCAGGTATATGTGTATGGTGAAGGGGCACATTTGAGACGCAGCCAGTTTTTTTTTCTAACTTTCAAGTTTTACGCTGTGTCCATGTTCCATTTTGGAGTAGCTGGTTTGTTATTCAAACTACTCCACAAAAGGCATACCATTTTTTAAAGAATACAACCTGGGGTATTTCAAAAGGCATATTTTGAACCTTAGCATGGGATCATTTTTCCGCTAGTTTGTTCCAGGTGTAGTTGTAATGAGCATTTTTGAATGTATTTTTTTACCCTTTTAAACTTTTTTTTTTAAATGTCATTTTTTTTTTACTTATTAAATTTTTTTCACTTTTTTAAAACTTTCTTAAAACTTTTTTAGTCACTTTTAACATTTTTACAAACTTTTTTTTTTCCATTAACACCTAACTAGTAAACAGCACTAACAGTAAACTCCCCATAACTCCCACCCACCCCAGCTAGCAAAATATATAATTTTAAAATATTTAAATTAATGAACAAAATAAAAGTTAACCCTCAGGGGTTAAAAAAAAAAAATCAGATCACTATAATACTGTGATCTGTATTTTGATTACTGTAGGCAGAGATCAACTGGCAGGGAAGGGGTTAATTTTTATTAGGACTGGGTAAAGTGGGGTGGGATTTTTTTGAACTTTTTTTTTTACATTAATACATTTTTTTTTAATTATTTTTTAAAAATGTTAAGATTTTTTACTTTTTTTTAACGATAACACCTAGCTAGCCTAATTCCCCAATTCCCCACTAACATCCACCCACCCCAGCTAGCTAAATATATAATTTTTAAATATTTAAATTAATTTATAAAATACATTTAACCCCTGAGGGTTAAAAAAATAAATAACCCTCAGGGCTTTAAAAAACAAACAAACAAACAGATAACCGTAAAATGTAGTCCCTGACAATTGAAGGGGTTACTTTAATTAAAGCAGGGGAAAGGGGTGGTGGGATTTAACTTAAGCTTAATTTTTTTTATAAGGAGAAGCAAATCATCACTGATCCGTCTTCTCCCTGCACTTCACACTGACTGCGGAAGAGCAGGGAGGTGGATCAGAAGTCTCTGCAGCACATGTGCTTGCTCTGACAGGCTGTCAGAGCGATCACAGCTACAGGGACAGTGCAATCGGGGGTGCTCCCAGTCTGCCTCAAATACAGAGCCAGACCGGAGGAGAATTAACCCTGCAATCGAGGCGATCTGTGTTTAACTTTAGTAAATGACGCAAGGACAAGCTTGATGGAAAATTTCCATCTTTGGCTGGGAAAGTGTTAAGGTACCATGGAGAAGGGGAGGCCAAAAGTCTAACATATACGGAAACATTTTGGATTTACAATGTAAAAACCCTGGTCCCATTTGGACTGAATGCAGAACTAGAATTAGCCAGTATACTATAACCCCTACAAAAATTTCCTAACAGAAATGTGTTTTTATTATGCTTTTCTATTGGGACATGACTAAGAAGATGGATTTTTATCTCCTGTATATTTTAAAGTTTAGTTTTATTAGTCTTAATTATCATACCCAAGTAAATGTTTTTCTTTCACTCACCCTTCATTTTTAACATAACTTTTCTATTTATTTATTTTTAAATTCTTTATTTTGAAGATTTTGTTGAATCAGGGAGGTGTACAGAAAAAAGAAACTGGGGTTGAAAGTTTAAGATACATACATTGCATAACATACATCGTGTCATTGTGACCCTTATCCAAATTGAACAAGTATGCGGGGGTGTTACCAGAGGTCTCAGTGTATATTTATGTTTTTTGTTCCTGGTTTCCCTCTCCCTCCACACCATTTTGTGCCCCTCGAGGTTACAGTGGTTTGAGGGGAGGAGTACAGAGAGTAAAGTCCGGGGGTACAAGTGGTTGATTTGGTCTCCTCGTGTAATTTGCTGTTATCGGCTTTGTTGTGGTGTACTGGTGCAGACCTTTGGTGGTTGCAGCGGATCGTACAGTTTTTGGTGCCGTTAGCTAAATTGTGTTGTACGACACTGTGGTGTAGATCAGGTGGGTTTGGTACGGTCCTGGTCTGTCTGATCTGGGCGGTCGGTAGGTATGGTTTGGGTGTGAGGGGGGTTGCGGCCTGTCTGGTCTGTTGGGGGGACTAGTGATGTCTTCATGGTTGGTGTTATTTTTTATCTTACGACCTGTGTTTGGATGTGTGGCCCTTGTTGAGTGATGGGCGTGTGGTTGTCGTTGCGTCTGTGATTTGAGGAGCTTGTCGGTGGTTTGATGTAGGTGCGTTGGTGGGTGCCTGTAAATGGTGGTGTGGTGGGGGGGGTGTAGGTTCAACTCACAGAGGTTCGGCGTGAGTGATGCTGGGTGTCCCCTTGGTAGGGGGGTGAGCGGGGGCGGTAGGTATGTGTGTGTATAGGTGTCTCTGAGTGGGGGTAGGGATCTGGGGTGTAGGGAGGAAAGTCAGTTAGGGCAAGGGGAGAGGGAAGGGGAGAGAAAGAGGAAAGAGAAAAAAAAATTTAAGGGAAGGAGGAGAGGGGTGGGGGGGGGAGTGGGTATTTGTGGGCGTGGGGGTTGATGGCTGTAGGGTGAACCCGGGGTAGGGCCGGGTTTGTGTATAACTTTTCTTTTTTTATCTTAACCACTTTGTTGAACTTAATGTATTTAATTCGTATTTTTGGTTAGGTCTATTCTACGTAAATCAAATTTCTTAACGTGATCCCAATAGTGATATTGCAGAAGGTCTTGATGGTAAGGTATGTCTTTTTGCTGATGATACTAAGATATGTAACAGGGTTGATGTTCCAGGAGGGATAAGCCAAATGACAAATGATTTAGGTAAACTAAAAAAATGGTCAGAATTGTGGCAACTGACTTTTAATGTGGATAAGTGCAAGATAATGCATCTTGGACGTAAAAACCCAAGGGCAGAGTACAGAATATTTGATAGAGTTCTAACCTCAACATATGAGGAAAGGGATTTAGGGGTGATTATTTCTGATGACTTAAAGGTAGGCAGACAATGTAATAGAGCAGCAGGAAATGCTAGCAGAATGCTTGGTTGTATAGGGAGAGGTATTAGCAGTAGAAAGAGGGAAGTGCTCATGCCATTGTACAGAACACTGGTGAGACCTCACTTGGAGTATTGTACACAGTACTGGAGACCGTATCTTCAGAAGGATATTGATACCTTAGAGAGGGTTCAGAAGGGCTACTAAACTGGTTCATGGATTGCGGGATAAAACTTACCAGGAAAGGTTAAAGGATCTTAGCTTGGAGGAAAGACGAGACAGGGGGGATATGATAGAAACATTTAAATATATAAAGGGAATCAACACAGTAAAGGAGGAGACTATATTTAAAAGAAGAAAAACTACCACAACAAGAGGACATAGTCTTAAATTAGAGGGACAAAGGTTTAAAAAATAATATCAGGAAGTATTACTTTACTGAGAGGGTAGTGGATGCATGGAATAGCCTTCCAGCTGAAGTGGTAGAGGTTAACACAGTAAAGGAGTTTAAGCATGCGTGGGATAGGCATAAGGCTATCCTAACTATAAGATAAGACTAGGGACTAATGAAAGTATTTAGAAAATTGGGCAGACTAGATGGGCCGAATGGTTCTTATCTGCCGTCACATTCTATGTTTCTATGTTTCTCTTTTCAATTTGATTGCACCAATCTCAAATTTACACCAAATTAAATTATTTTAACTATTTATGTTAACGTAACTATAAGTAGACACAATATTAAATTATAGGAATAATATGTTTTAAAAACAACAATTTATAACAATCATAACTGCAAAATAATACAATGTGAGCAAGATATTACTTTGCTGCAGAGGGATTTAGATAGACTGGGCACTCAAATGGGAGATGAAATTTAATATTGAAAAATGCAAAGTTATGCACTTCGGCGTAAAGAATACACAAGCAACGTATACCCTTAATGGAAGCGAATTAGGGATAACAACACATGAAAAAGACTGGGGAATTGTTATAGACAACAAACTATGCAACAATGTGCAATGTCAATCAGCAGTGGCCAAGGCCAGTAAGGTATTGTCATGCATGAAAAAGGGCATTCATTCTCGGGACGAGAATATAATTTTGCCTCTTTATAAATCACTGGTAAGACCACATATTGAATATGCTGTGCAATTTTGGGCACCTGTTCTAAAGAAGGATATTATGGCACTAGAAAAAGTGCAGAGGCGGGCTACAAAATTAATAAAAGGAATGGAACATATCAGCTATGAAGAAAGGTTAACAAATTTAAACCTATTTAGTTTAGAAAAACGTCGCCTGAGAGGGGATATGATAACATTATACAAATATATTCGGGGCCAATTCAAACCATTGTGTGGAAATCTATTCACAAACCGGACTTTACATAGGACACGAGGCCATGCGTTTAGACTGGAAGAAAGAAGATTTCATCTAAGGCAAAGGAAAGGTTTTTTTACTGTAAGAACAATCAGGATGTGGAATTCTCTGCCTGAAGAAGTGGTTTTATCAGAGTCCATACAGATGTTCAAACAGCTACTAGATGCATACTTGCAAAAACAGAATATTCAAGGATATAATCTTTCAATATAGGGTAATAACTGCTTGATCCAAGGATAAATCTGACTGCCATTCTGGGGTCAACTTGTTGCAAAATTGTGCTTCAAACTGGGTTTTTTGCCTTCTTTTGGATCGACAGCAAAAAACAAATGTGAGGAAGGCTGAACATGATGGACGCAAGACTCTTTTCGACTATGTAACTATATAATACCATATGTAATCTATACTGTTATGCACTTTGCATCATGATGTGTGTGTGTGTGTGTATATATATATATATATATATATATATATATATATCTCCATCTATCTCATTTGTACCTATATATTGACTTCACATTTTATCGTGTAAGCATAATATTGCGGACATTGAAACCGTGAACATTTAACATGTCAAAGTAGTTACAATCAATATGCCTTTAAGAATACCTTCACACACGCGAAGGGTATATATCAGCAGGAGTACCGCAACCTATCTTGAGAAAGCCCGGTCTCACGGGCAGATCGTTGTTTTGGCGGCAGTTTCTAACTTGGAGGCTTGGAAGCAAGTATTATGAGATCACAGGTCGGCATCCTCCCGAGGTGTTTGAGGTCTGGATCGGCTCCAGTGCACCGGAGCAGCTCGAAGCATCAAACCAGCGGAGTGACATAACCCTGACATAACTCTCAGATTGTACTGTGCCATTTCCCTATTTGTGGTGCTTAGAAATAAGCACCACCACTATTTTGTGTGGCTATTACGTTTCTCTTGGAGTGAAGACGGGAACTACAAAGTAACAATACAGACCTGTATGCCATTCTACACCATATCCCATGCAATTTTGTAATATATCTTTTTCCAATATTACCACTAACTTTGGTACTCTCACTATTCTGGACAGCTGCCTTCAAAATGGATGCTGTCCAGGAGGTGGGAGGGTGGGTCTGCTTCATATGGAGGTGCAGTTTGCTATCATTGAGAGAGAAGACAAACGGTAACAATTTTTATTTACTAACTTTTCTTGCTGTTCTTTAGGGATTAGTTTCCAGTGTTTAGTGAGGCGCCTACGCAACAGAACTGCAGCAAATTGGCGGATCTGAAAGAAATGTATAAATAGCTTTGTTGGAACATTTGCATCGTCACTGACACAAATGTACATACAGACACTCTGTTTGGAAAAATGTGTAAATCAGACATATGCTATGTGTATAATTGAATGTCTAAAACATGTATACATATATAAAAACACACCAACAATAATAAGCTCACACTTATCTTAAATGCACAAAAGTTACACTGAAAGTAGAGTAGTGTTACAACAATCATAAGATCAGTTCACATCATCAAGATAGAAACCCATTAAGGGTACTTTGCATGCACTATAAATATTTTCATTAGTTGTAGAGGCTGGACTATACAGTCCCTCCATTCAGTGTTAAACTTTTTTTTTTTAACAAGTTAACACAAAATAAGGGTTTTCCTGGCCATCCACAGTCTGGCACCTATTGGAGGTACGACTAAGGCAGAGATTACACAATTTCTTCTAGCCATACAAATTTATTGAAGCAGTCGGGCGTACCTGGTGTTGTCCTTTCATTCAGCGTTAAACAATTTTAATGTTTTAATGCTAGCAGAGAGCTTCCAGTTGCCCTTTCGTCTCCTTTGTTCTGCTTGGGTTAATGAAGAAGCATTTTCCTGAGTGGCAGGAAGTAGTAATCTGTAGTTTTTCTGGTGACTATAGTGTCCCTTATTTTTTAAAAGTTTATCCAGAACTATTCATAAGAAAAGCTGAACCGAAGATGTTAAATCGAGGCCTAATTCACACTCACAATTTTACCATATTAGTCACGCTCACACAAGCCAAACTAGCTGCACTCTCTTTCATATACCCACTCACGCAAATAATTAGCATCCTGCACATATAAATACATATAAGTCTTAAATCACACATAAGCATGTAGTCAAATATATTGATACATAAGGTAGCAAAGTGGTGCACACACATTCGTGCAAAAAAAAAACCCCACAAAATCTTTCATAAAAAAAAAAAACATGTACAGACAAACACTGACACGCTTACATATATGTACACAAACAGCCATACATAAATACACTTTCAAAATCCCCTGCAGCTCACCTATACTAGTACTGAGTAAGCATAGTTGAATGGAGACTGTACCTGATACCCAGTGCAGCAGGATATCTCTGCAACCAAAAAAGCAGAAACAGCTACAGGTCTCAAACGTTCCAAAGCTTTATCCTAATTCACAGTTTCAGAAAGATGTGATAATACATCACTTGTTCCCATGGTCATCAGTCAGAAGCCATGCAGAAGATCAAAGAGACCTGAAGGCACCTCTCCTAAGGTGGCATGTAGAGACAGCCTACTCCATTGCAAACTATGGTAACTAGTCAAGGGATTAAAATACAAATACAAATTTTGATGTCCGCTACCATTTCTGTGTCACCACAGTGCCCTGACTTTAGGGATTACTGGAGCTCTCTATTTAGAACATAAAGGTTCATCAGAGGGATTCTTTGACTATATGTACCTAAAATAGAGTGCCCATGAAATAATACATTTCTTTGGTTAATAAAGGCTGCAGACAGTACCCAAAGAATTATACTGATACTGAATCATATGGATGCGATGCCAAACTTTTTTATTGCACTCATGGAGAAAATACCTGCATATCTTGAGCACCCCTCAGAACATCACACAACGCAGGGATAATCAGAGGATCCTTTACCGCCTCTTTAAGCTGTGCTGTGGCCTGTTGGAAAAAATAAAGCAAAATGTATGGAATTAAGGTTACAGAGAAGGAAGCATAAAAACAAATAAAGCTTGCTATAAAGCCATGTGACTTTGCAAGAAAACCTTCAGAATAAAGGGAGGTATAATAACAATACACTAAAAGGAGATTACACTCAAGCTAAAGGGAAGCCTAGCCCAGATCATTTAGTCAAGCGTAAGTAGTTAATACTATCACTTGAAGAGCACCTCCTTCAGCTTGTCCAGGAATACACATGATGAATTTAAATAATGATGGAAAATAAGAGCTCTGTATCTACTACAGTACTGTGTGGGAGCTACTACCCCCAGCATGCACTTTCAGAAATAAAAAATACATCAGTTACATTATAAGTCTGCATTATCATGGACTCTGAGTCAGTAAAACAAGAATGCAGCTTGCAATGTTTTTTGTCACAGATTTCTAAAATGGCCAATAAGTAAGCCTATAACAAAATGGCTGCCAGCCCAGGAGGGGAGGACAGGTAAAAACTAGATTATAGAACACATATATCACAATAATGTACAATCTCCTCTTCATGTGTTTGCCATGACAGGGCTGTGCATATCTGGAAACATGCATCATTTACTTAGAGATTATTTACCCCCCCAATAAGGCTAACTTTATCACCAGGTAACAAAATAGATGTGCCAATTAGCTTTATTTGTAGTGGGAGATGTCTAAAATTTAGATTAAACATAGCTGCCAAAGGTCAAAGTGTGTCATTAATACAGGGTTTTAAAAATGTGACCTCAATCTAGGAGCCAGCTAAGAAAGTTAGGAGTCAATTCTTAAAGGAACACTATTGTCACCAGAACCACTACAGCTTAATGTAATGGCCCTGGTGTCTGTAGCCAGTCCCTGCTGGCTTTTCAGAGAAAAGGCAGTGTCTACATTGCTGCCTAGTAACACCTCTAGTGGCTGTCACTCAGACGGCCTCTAAAGTGTCTCCTATCTCAGTGGTGCACAATGTGCAGCACCTACATTCAGCTTCTCCTTTCTCTGCAAGGAGGCGATGAACATTCCCCATAGAGATGCTTTTAATTGATTTCATGCATTTCTATGAGGACATGGTAACTGGTAATCTCAGCTATGGAGGCAGGCTAGCTCCGGCGAGACCAGCACAGCATTGGAAAAAAAAGAGGAGTAAAAACATAATTCCCATGCGATTGGAGGGAATGGTGACTTAAACATACAAATTCACTGACTGACTAACGGACTGACAGACTCAAACAAATGCATGCATAGACAGACAGACACGCTAACAGACAGAAATTCTAAGTAGCTATGGTCACCTGGTGCCTGGGATTTGTCGAGCCCTGCGTTAAAGGACCACTATAGGCACCCAGACCACTTCAGCTTAATGAAGTGATCTGGGTGCCTGGTCCAGCTAGGGTTAACCCTTTTTTTTTTTTATAAACATAGCAGTTTCAGAGAAACTGCTATGTTTATAAATAGGTTAATCCGGCCTCTAGTGGCTGTCTCTTGACAGCCGCTAGAGGCGCTTGCGTGCTTCTTACTGTGAAAATCACAGTGAGAAGACGCAAGCGTCCATAGGAAAGCATTATGAATGCTTTCCTATGAGACAGGCTGAATGCGCGCGCAGCTCCTACTGCGCATGTGCATACAGCCGAGGAGGAGAGTAAGTTTAACCCCTTCCTCTCCCCAGAGACTGGCGGGAGGGGGTCCCTGAGGGTGGGGGCTACCCTCAGGGCACTATAGTGCCAGGAAAACGAGTATGTTTTCCTGGCACTATAATGGTCCTTTAAAGGGACTCTATAGTCACCAGAGAAACTACAGCTTTTTGTATTTGTTCTTGTAAATATAATCATTCCCTTTTGGGTTTGTTTTTGCAGTAAACACTGTCTCTTCAGAGAAAATGCAGTATTTACATTACAGCCTAGGGAATAACTCCACTGGCCACTCTTCAGATGGCTGCAGAAGTGCTTCCTTTGGCAGTGCTGCGGTACAGTACTGCCATTCAGTGTCTCCATCTTCTGCATGGAGACACTGAACTTTCCTCAGAGAGCCGCATTCATTCACTAGAGATGCTGACTGGCTGTGTCCCTGATCTGCCTCCATGACAGTCTCAGCCAATCCTATGGGAAAGCATTGTGATTAGCTTGTTAAATCACTTCTGATGATGTCAGGCATGCAGGCAGGTCAGGGGCAGAGGTAGCAGCTGCAGACTTGAATATAAGTACAATTTTACTATATTTAGGGAGGCAAAGGTGAGTCAGATGGTGGTTTTAACAGTATAGGATCAGGAATACATGTTTGTGTTCCTGACCCTATAATGTTCCTTTAAGAGAAATTGTGAGAGCTATTCACTAATAGGGTTTATTAGTAGAGTCAGAATTCAAATCAAATTTTAAATTTTAAAGTCCAGAGTAGCAAAATAAATGCATAGTTGACTTAGAGAATTTTTCCAATTTGGCTATTTTGACTTTAAATGTGAAAATCACTTCACAAATCACAGTTTGGAATGCAAAATGAATTGTTAATTTCATGCAAAACTGTTGGGATTTCAAAATTAATTGCCAATTTCATGCAAAACTGAAAGCATAACAGAGTGAGAATTTTAATCATACAACTTTTTGCCTAAAATGTATAATTCACACTTTAATAACCATGCAGATTGCCGATAACATAACAGGGAGACATGAATCTCTTTGAAGATCTCCCATGAAACAGGCTTACTAGTTTAATTATTTTTACTTGCCATCCCCTGCTGCTCACAACTGATAAAATGAGGAAAGAGAGTAGAGGTCTGAAGAACTGGATGCGGTAGTAGTGGGGGAGTCGTGTGCCAATGCATAATGCAACAGCAGATACCACTTTTCATGCATTTACATAGGCAATAGACAATTGATTCTGTGTATTTGTTTAAGAAAGAGTATGCAGCTAGCTGGGCAAATGTATTAGTGTGGCTCATGAGGTAGGATTATGAGTGAATTTTATTGAAGGGACACTACAGGCACCCTGACCACTTCAGCTTATTGAAGTGGTCTGTGTGAAGTGTTCATGCCCCCCTTAGTTCTGCAATGTAAACCATTGAGTTTACATTTCAACACTAAGCCTGCATCTAGTGGTTGTCAGACAGCCACTAGAGGCACTTCCTTGTAGTTAAGATTCTTTTGGTTGCTTGACGTTTTGTATGAGGACATCCAGCGTCAGTAAAATCCCCATGGGAAAGCAACACAGCGCATGCACATTAGCCCCCATGACAGAGAAGGAAGCAGAGCGCCCACCTACCTTGGGTGAATGTTAAAAGGGATTATAAGGGATTTTAACACGGGGTTGAGCCGAGCGCCTAACGGAATGGCCGCATGAATCTATAGCTCCGTGCATGGCGGAACAAAACAAGCTCATAAATCGACAATTAACCCCTAATATCAGAGCAACAGCACCCTGCAACATGTCCCATAGCAAGGGCAAGTACAAGAGCGACAAGTCTGCCTTTTTTGCCGCGAGACAGCAATCAAAACCGCTGGCGGTAAAGGAAGTCCCAGGAGATGGTGACCACGAGTCGGAGGATAGCCGGGACTCAAGTTCACTATACTTCACACCTACAGCACTGGTATAGTGCAATGTTTCATATCCCTCTCGGAGAGGGGTAAATGTTGGAAAAGCCTACGGTCCCTAAGCAAGAAAGCAACGCAATTACTTCTCAGTTCCTACACGCGAATGGCATGGTACGGATTGGAGCTGCTCCCCACCAGAGAAACTTGCCTAAGAAACAAGACTTACCGAACTCTCTATAATTCTGCACGGACTAAATGGCAAGCTCTCATTTATACGTGGAGGAATGGAACTGTATGTATGGGGGCAGGAGTGCATCTCCTCCCGAGCGGGCCATACTGGCATTGACAAGGTGCAGTATCCACCATACTACAAGACATGGGGCAAGCAGGCAAGAATAGGGGGGATTTAGAGAGCTATTGCCCCGGGAAAGAAAGTCCAGGGTTCCCAAAACCCCAGATGGTACGGATGAGCATCCATGGGGAAAAATAGGCATCTGATGGGGTAGTGCTAGGAGGGCCTGGGGTTCCATCTTATTCTTGCCATTATCAAGGGCATTTAGGCTGATTAAGGTTCTGCCTGGTTAGGTAAAACACCCCTGGTATGGGTCTTTAAAGGGGAAGCAGTTTTGTCAAATGCAGGCTGGGGATTAGGGGCTGGAGAATTTACCCAGTGGATGGGCTATGAAAGATGTTTTAGTTAATCCTAAAGAGGAATGTTCTGATTTAGCTTTTAGTTTTATCACTTGTACAAATGTTGAGTTAGTAATGTAACATTATGTAAAAACACTGGGATCCGCCTGTACGGAGTATGGCAAACTCAGTATTCACACTGGGAAAACCCCAAAGGGAACCGAGTGTCATACTCGGTATTATCAAATCCGAATCGCCGGTGGGCAAAGTGGGCTGACTCAGCCATGTGTTATACTCAAATGTTCGTTTATTTTATGTACATATATCCTTCTCTTCACTATCCATTTCCCTTACAAGGCAACCTCGAGGTGCGGGGAGAGGGGGTGGGAGAGCTATTCTAGACTAGGAGAGTTCAAATTGACAAACCATGAGATTGGTATCACATAATGTTAAAGGGATTAATGCCCCATTCAAACGTCACGCTTTATATCATGAGATCAAACGGTTACAGGGAGACATCATTTTAGAAAGTCAGACACCCACAGACTGAATGTGAGGAGGTTTCCTTTTCAGTTTCATGCCACCTCAGATACAAAGTCCAAAGGGGTATCTATACTTTTTAGTAACCAACTCTCCTAACTACTCAAAAAAGTAGCAGACCCCAATGGCAGATTACTTATCACTGTGGCCACATTTAATGAACTAACGTACACGATAGCAAATGTATACACCTCTAATAATAAACAAACTGAATTCCTAGCTCATGCCCTGAACAAAATTGATACAGTACAACAAGGTATACTCATCCTGGGGGGAGATTTTAATGACATCCACGACCCATGCTTAGACTCGACATCCAAGAAAGGACCCAAACAGACGATGAGGATGACTAAAGTGACGAAACGCCTACATTTTTCTTTTTTTTAACAATCTTTATTTTCATATTTAAGTATTCGTACAAGGTACTGAGCTTAGTGGTTTCAGAACAGCTAGGTCAATATGTCATTGTAAAACATTGGAACATACAACTTCCCAATTTTACATTTCTAAACATTTGTGGCTAACAGTGTTTAAATGCTATGC